TAGGTATTTAATGATAAGCTTTTTGAATTATTATATTCAATGTATTTATTCACATGCTAAATCTACTATATAAATTTTGGTATCAGTTTACTTCCTGTATATGCTTTTAATATTTGTTGTATCACTATATATTTAATCATTAGAATGAATCAATTTTGATGTATTTGTATAAATCCTACCTATTAATCATTTAATATAATGATATGATTAACTAACATTTAATGCAGTTGTGGGAGACATTATAAGAATGAGATTAACCATGTACTAAAAATTAAACTTGACAAATTTCAGAAAAGTTGTCTTTGTAGGTACTGAAATCTGATATAGCTGATCATGTATAACAACACCTGTGAAACAAAGTCAAAATAACTTAGGGCTGCATTGAAGAATAAGAAATTTGAAAGTGTGAAATTTTCATCTACTCAAGTTTTAGGGGAAAACCTGAGTATCAGAATACCAACAATCAAATAAATAAAGTATGAAATGGCATATAAATGTTAAAAAAAATAATCACAAAGCAAAATTTAAATAAAACATAATATTTTATAAAGAAATGTATTGTTAATACATAAATTAGTGTTCTCATGGGATAGAAATATTGTGGCTAATATTAAAGAAAATGCAATAAGTGGAGTTTTTAAAGACTCATTTACTGGAACTGATAAAGCACAATATAAGGATACAAAGAGCAATTATCTCCCTTTGGTAGTGATAAAGTCACAAGGGTCACATAATGGCGGGTCAGTGACAGCACGTCATACAGTGACTAAAGTGGCAGTCAGTCAGCTTCCAGTAGTCAAACTGAACAGTTGCTTTCTTAGCCTTGGCAAGACAAGGGCCTTGTCTGGATGAAGGTTAAATTTCCCCACCCCAAGCCAGCTCCATCTGGTGTAGCTTTCAAGCCCCTGGTGCTGTTTCCCTTTGGGAATATACCTTCCCCAGATATAGAAAGAAATTATCTCCAGCTTGCAGAAAATCCCGAGACTCGCTGTTTCCCTGTTTGCAGAATGTGTCCTCATTAGTGACATAGATAAATCTGGAATCCTAAATATGGCTTCTTCAGAAATGCAGAAAAGTTTCCATAGTTTATGTAAGACCTTATCTCTTTGTTCTCTTTTCACACTGCTTGTTGTATAGATATGTATTATATTTTCTCTGCATGGGACATATGTAAATATGTATATATGATTTTGTGTATGACTTAGTGGTATAAAACGCTCTCTGAGAAAAAAACATGTTTGTCATTGCTTTTTCTTTCAGCCATTCCATTCTACTTGTAAAATAAGGTGTTAATGCCCATAATGGGGGAAATATAAATGAGAAAATAAACCTTTTTTTCCATAGCTCACCAATTAACATGAAAAAGTGTTCTGTAAGTGAAAAGTTTGACTGCCTAGGCACTTGGCCTTTGTAACCATCCCTGTAGACAGGAAGAGTTAAATACTGTGTGTTTGTTAATTTCAGTTCAAGTGAGATTCTGTGTTCTTGACTATTGTCTGAACTGCATGCCAATTGTGATGTTGTCTCTTTGGGGCCTCCAATTTTCTCATTCATATACTCATTGTCATGATACAAATGGGCTCCCAGAATTAAAATTGTGTTTATCTTGTGTGATTTTATTGGTGTATTAATATTTTGTGGATGTGGACTAGTGTTTGTGTGTGTCTTCTATCTAAATAAAATTAATTCTGCAAAAATTAGAGATAATTTTCCTACAAAAGAAGCCATACACTCTAACCACCTTCACCCCAGCCCCTCAACCTCCGATGTCTTAATCTCTGGGTTGAGGTGTCTACTCGGTCTTAACTGAACTTAAGAGAGTGACCGTATGTCCCCTGAGCATCCGTAGATCATTCAACCGGTCAGCTGGTTTAATCCTGCTTCCTGCCCACGTTCTGTTTGGTTTGATCCAGAAAGCAGAAGTGATGTTCATCCATTCATGGTTGACTGAAAATGTAGACACAGCTGGAGAGTCTGCGCTAAGAAATTTAGAATGCACCAAAAAATATATATCTGCAGTAAGTCGAACAAACAACTATTCAATGGTTGAATTGTTAATGTCTTTTATATAGCAGAAAAGAATAATATAGAAAAGAAACGGGTTACAGAAAAGAAAATAATTGACGTAAAAACTCATACATTGGATTCTAGACAGGGAGAGAGAGTGGGTTGTGATTAGCTTGTTGTATAATCCTCTCAGAACGATATGCATCTCTTGATTAGTGTAGCTTGTTCGATGTTTCCATTTCCAATGGTAGTAATAATAGTAGCAGGAGCAGTCTTAGATTGTTGTAGAAGTAATTCACTTCTTCATACTTATATCAATAAAATATGTTAGTGGCGTTTGGTTCCAATTCTCTGACGTCACTCCCAATCTCAGACCTCTCTCTCCAGCTCGACTGCACTCAACGGCAGACCATCCAGAAGAGCTACACTAATCAAAGAGTGTAGCTCTTCCGTTCAGCTCTTCTGTAGCACCGCAACCCATAATGGTCGCTTGCGGGTGCTCACGCACATGACGACAATGTGCCAACCGATTGCAGTCTCTCTCGTCTGTCTGCACTCGACAGCAGACCAGCCAACCAGTCTCTGATTAGTGTAGCACGGTGACCCGTAACGCTCACCTGAGGGTGCCCATGCACATGACGGCATGCAGTGATGACGATGTACCGACCGATTGCAGCTTCTCTCGTCTGGCCTCTTCCATCTCACTTGACCGTCTGCTTCTTCTTCAGCATAACTACGCGTTTATATAGATAAATCTGGTTGATCATAAATCGACCTTTGGCCTGCACACAATTATCATGAGTGCCATTTTCAACCCCAAATCATGTGAATTTCAATGTTCTCATAGCCTTAGTAAGCTCTATTTCAAATTTTAACCGATAAAATTTATTTCGATCATTTCCATTGTCTTTTCAATGAACCAATTCCAAAAGCAAGATCAGATTTCCTCATCAGTAAACAAAATGCTCTGATCTAATTTCACTAGCTAGATTCACTCCAATTTCAAAAATTAAATATATATGTGTGTGTTTCCCAAACTCTCTGTATCACAACACATGCTATGCTCAAGTCATCAAATCATCATCCAGTCAATAAACTAAGCATAGATCTCGGCTCCATTAAGTGACACTAATTTGGAAAGGATCAGCATTATGAAAATCACTCTTATAGTGTCCTATAAGATCTGTTCTGCTGTATAAAATCAGTGATACAGCTTATCTGGTTCCTGCCTACAGCAGTGCAAGAAATATACAATAGTCAGCAGGGAATCAGATTAACATCATAAGTACTGATAAATTAGAAGAGATACCAGGCATGATAGTTATAAAAATGAACTCATTAGTTGATTGAAGGCTTCCTGATGCAAGAGACACCTGAAGAATGCAAGAAGATTGACTGAAAAATGACAAAAAACAACAAATTAATTGACTCATCTTTAGTATTTTTTTGTATTCATTGATAAGAACCAGTCTGGATTCTCCATTTTTTTTTTCATTGTTGTCGACTGGTGTTGATTAGTGATATACTTGATATTATGAAAGGAAAGTAAGAAGAAAATGAGAATAGCAGACAGGAAATAGTTTTTTTTTATTTATTCTTTTCCCAACAGTCTATGCTAACAACTGAATAAACAATTATGTCATCTTAGCCTGAATTCATAAGACATTTTTTGAATAACTTGCTTGAAATTATATAAAGCCAAATTTTTTCTACTTTTTTTTTAAGTAAAACTTTTAAAAAAATTCTTTCCCTTATCATCAGTAAATTCTCTCTATGAAAACTGCTTATATGTATACACACATGCATGTATGCAGTATGTCAAGACAAGAAACTGAAATTATATGAGAATTTAAAATTATTTGCACCAGCATAGAAATAAAAATAAATAGCATGCTCAGAAATAAAAATTGCATTGAAACTGAGAAAAGTCTTAATCAGAAAGATTCTTCTGGCAAATCATTTCTGTGATCTGTCTGACTAACCACATTTGTAGCCTAACACATAGAATTTTTAAACTGAAATTTTCACTGTTTAATGCTCAATTTATGTGCTTAATATTTACAAGGAAAGAGATTATGTTGAAAATCAATATTTATTGTGCAAAATAAATGCTTTGTTTTGATTGTTAGGCTATAAATATGCTAAATTTAATAGCATACACATCTGCATGAGCTGAAAAAATTTATAGAACAAATTATGTTAAGTAATAAAATTGCAATACTCATATTTGATTTGTATCTGAATATTTGTATTTGATTTTAGTAAAGATGGATCAAGATGGACCTTCATACCTACAATTTTTCCTATGACATTGCTTTTATTTTAACTACCTTCACTCTTCAGCAAGTGATGATCAGAATAAAACCTAAACATATGATGAAAGTGAATTTATACATTCGTTTTGGTTCTTGAGAACTTGCAACAAAAATATTAAACACTACTGATTAGATTGTTTATTTACAAGAATAATTTTACATTTACAACATTCTAAAATCTAATACAATTAATGATAATGCGATATTTATCATTTATCAGTTTATAAAGAACTAAATATGAAAGCAGTATTTTATTCAGAAATTTATAAACATTTACTAAATTATTAAAATATGTGAACCAACTATCAGGAAGTCTGTGTTTTGCCAACCATTCCAATAAATAATATGATTAATAGTGTAAATAAACAATCTAATAAATAAATAGTGTTTATTATTTTTGTTGTCAATTCTCAAGAACAAAGAAAATGTATAAATTCATTTTCATTATATGTTTAGGTTTTGTAATCATCAGTTTTTAAACCAATAAACATTGCTGAAGAGTGAAGGTAGTTAAAACAATGTCATGGGAAAACCCATCCTTTTGACACAATGTCTTATTGTAGGCATGAAGTTCCATGTTTGCCAAAGAATGAATTGCTAAAATGGACATTGTCTAGTTATCTTTTTGTCTGATTTCTAGAATCTTTATTTATACATTTATTTAATTCTTTTCAATAGGTTTACCGTTTTCTTCGAGCCTGTTTGCTGCGTTTGATTCCAGTAGAGCTTTTAGGATCAAAGCATAATGTGACTATCTTGCTGAAGAGTATCCTTTATTCTTGACCTTATTTTTATATTAATCTCAGTTACGACATTTTTCCATAAATGAAATATCAAAATTTATAATAAAATGAATGCAAATACAAATAACAGTAGAATGTAATAAATGTACATAAAATTATAGTATTTTATGTACAATTCTGATAAAATTTCATAAGAAAGGTACCTATAAATTAATTAGATACCTTTCTTAAGAAATATGAAATTTAATGTCACTCTTAACAGTTTTATTTTAATTTCTTTTACAATATATTTCCCATAAAGCATCATAAACGTAAAAGGTGAAAGCTAAGTACAAAAAAAAAAAAAAATTTAGACCGCTGAAAGTTTTTCATTTAAAAATAACGGGTAAATAATTTGTTCACGTAAATGTAAATTATTTCACTTTTCTCCTTCTGTAGAACAAATTAGCCTCATGGAATTCATAAATATATCATTCATCACATGTCAAGAGACGCGAAAGTTTATGACCTGCTTTGTTTTATTTTCAAATTACATCTTTTTTTGGCACAAAAAGCTAAGTTAAGTTTGGTTCAAAATATTTTAAATAAACATTATAATTTCTGATTTTCTTAAAATAAGTTTTGAAAAAATGATAATTGATATTTAAAAAAAAATTTCAAAGTCAGATTTCCAGTTTTTTTTAAAATGGAAAAAAAATGGTCAATTTGCTGACTCAAAAAAAAAACTAGATTTTTAACAAAAATTTGGACGTGCTAAGGAACGATTAAAAAAAAAAAAAAAACCCCAAAAAAATACTTTGACCTTTCCTCTTAATAATAACAAACATTTAGGCGATAAAATTTTGTTTTTTCGTCAAGTTTGGTGTCTTTTTCATCATGCTATTCTCTTTTTTTAGCAATCTCGTGGAGGTACCTAGATTAAGTCATATTTTATATATTTATATTTTTATTTATAAAGATCTAAAATACTATATTTATTATCCTTTATATATCCACCTGAAGTCAAATCATTCTCCATCTAGAATAAAGCATGTACCTTCATCCATAGAAAAACGAGTAAGTATAAATTCTGCTAATGAAAGAATATTCTATGAATACAGTAATTTTTATAATAAAGCTTTAAAGAATAGTGGCTATAAATGCCCTGACATTAAATATAAAAATAATAAAAATAACCAGAGAAGAAATAGAAAAATCATTTGGTACACACCCCCATTCAACCAAATGGTTAGTAGTAAGTTAGGACAAAAATTTCTTGCTTTAATTGAAAAACATTTTCCAAGAAATAATCCACTTAGCAAAATTTTTAATAAAAATTCCCTAAAATTGGGTTATAGTTGTAATGACAATTTAGAAAAAAATTATTAAAAACACAATAATAAAATTATAAAATACTTAAGCCAGAATCAAAAAAATAGTGATTCAGAATTAAGAATAAATAATAGTAAAGAAAAATTATGTAACTAGGAATCCTATAAATTGTACATTGAATAATAAATGTCTCACAGAATCTATAGTTTACCAATGTACTGTCTTATTTATTGAGAATCCTAATATTAAAAAAAATTATATTGGTAGCACTAAAATTAATTTTAAATTAAGGTGGAGCCTACATCTGTCTTCATTCAAAAATTATGTGTATTGTAACCAAACATCCCTATCCAAATATTTTTGGCATTTAAAAGAAAGAAACAAAACACACACAGTAAAATGGAAATTATGAAAAAAAAATCAAGAACTTGTAGGTCTTTAAATGACCCATGTCATTTGTGCCTACATGAAAAGTTATATAGTATTAAGTTTCTAAAAAAATAAAGATTTATTAAAGAAAAGAAATGACACTGCATTATGTTTACTTTAAAACATTTTTTTTTAAATTTCATAGTTATATATCTATTTGATTACAAATAAGAAAGTAAAAAAATGTGTAATTAAATTCCCAAATTTTAAATCTTAATTTTAACAATACCATATTGAGTATACTGATAAATATAATAAATATAGTATTTTAGATCTTTATAAATAAAATTATAAATATATAAAATATGACTTAATCATATTTGAAGCCCCTTTAAGACAATCCCAATGTATTTTATAAAATATAAATAAAAATGACAATGTATTATAGTGTATCTTATATATGCCCTTAAAAAACAGACAGGATGACATGTCCCCATATAAGGAATTTTTATTAATTTTGGTATAGCAGATGGAAGGTGCAAATCAGAGTTATTTTCCTCACAGTGGAATTTTACAAACCTGTTTCAGTAAAATGGAAAAAAATGTCAATTTTAAATCTTTTCATTTGTACCCTCTTCTTAAAATAACAACCAGCATTCATATTTATGATTGTTAATGCAATATTTTGTTAAAGTTGTTAAGCTCAAATATTTAACGGTGTGATAGGGGAATTTCTACTGATATTTTATCGTGGAATTTTCCATGAGCTTACTCAATTATTAACTTAAGAATTAAGATTAATCAGAATATAAAAATAGAAGGATCCATGAGATTTTTGTGAGTATTTCTAGTCTTTTATAAACATCAAAATCCAGGCATGCTAAAATATTAGAAGAGACTACTGAAATCTCTTGCTATCAAATTTTAACATACAGGAAAAGAAAGAAAAGATCAGATTATTCTGTCCAGTAATTTCTTCTATTGTAATTGTTTATAATCTGTTTGTTTTCTTATGCAATTTAAACCAGATGTGAAAAAATTTATCTCTCTTGGAAAATTTGAAAAACTCTGCCTTGGTCAAATAATGAATGGCATGAAGGTAAAGTTAAATAAAATAAATCTTATTTCAGTTTTTCAGTTTTTTTTTTTTCTTTTTGTTATCCATTATTAATTTTTACCTATAAATTTCCCCTCAAACTAAAACTATAAATACATATTCTGATGCTGGTCTTCCTTGCAAACTGGTATCACATCTGAAAATGGAACTGATTTAACAATCACTGATTATTTATCTATTACATCAACTGCCATCAAGATCATTCAATTGTGAACTTCATGATCTTTTTGAAAACTGCATAGTATGTGCTTTGCTAGGGTTACATATGGTTCTGAATTCAGAGTTTTCCTTCTAGACTGGTTGATAACCTTGGTTAGAAAACTCTATCTGTCCTGTTATTTAACCTATAACTATGGGGAGAGAAGAGATAGATTCATGCCTTTCCCAAGGTTATTTGAACAAAAGTGAATGTAACAAACTTGGCTGGAAATTGAATTCAGTTTGCTGGTTTCTCATTTCAAAGCTTTGACCATTGCATAACCTGCACATCTCTGACCATTCTTATTTTGACTGCATCGCTTGTCTAGTTAAACAGAGCAATTGAAGTTGATGGTAATGATATGTAAGTCTCCTTTATTGAGATTCAATTGCATGTATTAACATGAATCCCCAATGAGAAATGAGGTGTTACACAAGAATATGTGACAGCTAAACAAAATGTACATAATAAAAATAAAAAGAAGTACTTCTCTGCTAACTTCATTACTGGTGGAGATGGCATACCAGCCATTGTCTTGAAGAAATGCGTGCCTGAGCTAGCGCCTGCCCTCTCTAAACTATATAATTACTGCTTTAAGGAATCCTGTTTTCCTGACTGCTGGAAGTCCTCATCCATTGTTCTTGTCTTTAAGAACTCTGGAGACCCCACTGACCCCTCTAATTACCGTCCTATTCGTCTCCTACCCCTCTTCAGCAAAGTCTTCGAAGCTCTAATCAATGCTGAAGTGATTAACCACCTTACATCCCATGATCTGCTCTCAGACAAGCAATATGGTTTCCGCTACGCCCGATCTACAGCTGATGTGCTTACGACCATCACTGAAACCGTCTACCAAACCCTTCAAAATAACGGTGAGGCTCGTACCGTGGCCCTAGACATCTCCAAAGTGTTTCATAGGGTTTGGCATGCCGGCCTTCTTCGCAAGCTCCAAGGTTATGGTATTACAGGTCGATTGTTTGACCTAATACAATCATTCCTGTCAAACCGTGAATTGAAGGTCATTCTCAACGGATTCTCCTCCAGTTCCTATCCCATGAACGCAGGTGTTCCCCAAGGCTCCATTCTTGGCCCCACTCTATTCCTTATTTTCGTCAATGACCTTCCTGACGCCATAGATTCCCAAGTTGGCATCTACGCAGACAACACTACAATTTACTCCTGCCTCTAGTATCGGTGACAAAACTAACCTGGCCGTGCGTCTTGAAATGGACATCCAATCGGTTGTTAATTGGGGCAAGAATTGGCTGGTCAACTTTAACGCTTCAAAAACTAAACTACTCTCTATTAATCACCATAGAGATCCTTCCCTGCCCCCCCTTAGAATGTCTGATAGTCAACTTCTTGAGAGCAACTCCCTGCATCTGCTCAGTCTCATGTTGACTGCTGACCTGATATGGAACAAATACATTGAGTCAATTGCTTTGTCCATCGCAAGGAAAGTTGGCTCTCTGTGCTGTGCCAGGAAATTTTTCTCCCCGGAATCGATACTTCAAATATACAAATCAACCAATCGCCCTTGCATGGAGTGTTGCTGCCATATATGATCTGGGGCAACTTCTGTTTACCTCGAAGTTCTTGACAAGATCCAGAGACAGATATGTAATATAATTGGCCCTGATCTGGCATCTCTTCTTCAATCACTCTCTCACAGACGTGCCGTCACCTCTCTCTGTCTTTTCTACAAATACTTTCATGGTAATTGCTCCAAAGAGCTGCTTTCACTGGTTCCCAGACTCCATGAATTCAAGCGCCCTACGAGGCTGGCATCCCGCTCCCACCCTTACACTGTAGAAACTTTTAAATGTAGCTGTCTCTTCTACTCCAATACCTTCATACCTTGCACTTCTCGCCTGTGGAACACCCTTTCCAATTACTGTTTCCCTGAGAGCTATAATCTCCAACTATTCAAATGTAATGTCAATCAACATCTCCAGTTACCTTGATCTATCCACTATCCTTCTCCTCATCCTTTCTTCTATCACTCCTATCTGCTCTTGCTCCAAATCTTCTGCAACCCCTTGCATCCTAGTGGCTTCACGCCTTGCTCGGAGCGTAATGCTTAAAAAAAAAAATTTTTTTAAATAAATAAATAAATATTATAACACTAATAATAAAAATAGCAAAACAAATCATTGGATGGTTCCAATTGTAGGAATGACTGCAAAAGCGTCCCCACTCTCAAAATTTATAGACAAATCATACAGATGCATGCTGGGATTTCTCCCTAGCCAATAAGATAAATCACTACTTGGTCTCATCTGCCATATTTTTGTTCTTGTCTTGAAGTCAGAACACTAGTCACTTGTCTGTATCCTTTTTATGTGTTAACACCATTCTTACTTTGTAAACTTTTTGCCTTATTACAGTTGATTTTGTTTATTTTTGACTTGCAAATATATTGTTTGCTTAGTATTATTTTGCCCTGTTCTTTCTTTTCTTATTGTTTGAATTGAAACTCTGTTAATTGTGTTTGTTGGACAAATCTGCTAATTACATTTAACCATGGCCAATTAGTCTACCAAATGATTTTGACAATGGTTTTTATAAATAGTTGATCATTTGCAGTGTTCTGTATTTTAATAGAGAAGTGTACGTAATTTCGAACCTGTTATTGTCACTCTCCAATCCAAAGTTAAAATTATCTAAATGTAAGAACTCTTCTGCATTCAATGACAACTTGTGATATTAGTATAATTATATGAACAAACATTGGGTCTCACTTCCAAATACTATTAGACAGAGCAACATATGATATTTCAAATATTATTTGATAAAGTGTCTTTATTTTATCTGATTCAAAGTAGTTGAGAGAATTAAACATTTTCAAATTACTTAGCAAGCTCACAGCCATTGATAATTGGATATATTAGTGTGATTAAGAGAAATAACGTACTATATATTGCGTCTGTTCCAGGCTATTCTTAATAAGTTTATTTTTTGGTGGGTGTCTTACAAATCTGGTTTTGTGCTAAACTTATTTAATCCAAGAAATCTCTCTCTCTCACACACACACACACACACACACATATATATATATATATATATATATATATATATATATATATATATATATATATATATATATATATATATTATGCATTATTAGAAATATTCCTAGAAATATGATTTAATTTTTTTCTTACTCAGTTTATTAAACAGGTTGTTAATTTTTTTTTTTTTTAAAAACGGAAAATAACTGAGTTGAAAATAATTCACTAAGAGTGTACTAGACGATCCTAAGGAAAGAAGAAGGAAAGAAAGGAAAAAGGAAGGAAGGAAGAAAAAAGAAAGAAAGAGAAATGTATGACGCATGACCCAATTGAGGGTGGAGATAGGAGTCAGAAAGAGATTTAGGTCAAGCGTCTTGGCCGATTTTTGAAAAGTCATTTTGGTAAGAATGTCGGTCAGAGCACCTAGCCTACTTTTGCATGGAAAGACACCTTATCAATTTGGATAAAGAGAAATTTTGGGAACAATGAAACAATTTTAATCAGAGAAAAAGTGTCTTTGGGTTGAGGGGAGTGACGGTGGAACGATATACAGACCTGTTAAGAATTGGACACCCACGTTAATAAAGTAGAGACATTTCAATGTAGATAATTAAGATTTTCGACTATCAGGTAAAACAAAGAGGTAAAAAAGAGGGACAATTGCTTTTGGCTCATAGAGGGCGCCAAGAAGGCGAAAAAGATCCTTTCTAAAGTCAAGACTAATTAGCAGCGGGCTGTTTGACAAAGTCCAGGTGAGAGAAAGCCAAAGATTGTCATTTTGCGTGCGTGCAAAAAGGGGCAAAATTGGATTTTTGTTTTTTTAAACAAGAACGATGTAACCACGCCCGCCAAACAGGGGAGAGGATGTTCGATCAATAACAATTGGTCGAATACGATCCGTGACCTGCGGAAGAAAAGGAAAGAAATGTTTGATCAATAACAATTGGTCGAATACGATCACGTGACCTGCGGAAGAAAAGGGAAAAAATGCTCGATCAGGAGCGATTGGTTGAAAAGCGGTCACCTGACACACGAGAGACTAAGAGAGATGGATGTGCGCCCCACCAAAGGTACTGCGAGGAAGTAGGGGCGAAAACAATAGCGATAATGGAGAAGACAGAATTAATGCAGTTTTTTGGAATTATCGAGAAAACCCTGACGCCGACAGACCCACCCCAGTTTGTTGCGGCGTCAATATAAGCAGGACCCCAGTCGACAGAAATCAGTTGAGTTGGAGTTGCAGATGGAGTGGAGTTGCAGCTGAACCGCGGGCAGGGAAAGAGCCTGAACGCGGGCATCAGGCCCCGATTCACTCGCCCTTTGCGGGCAAGAGAATCCTCAGACAAGAAATCCTTCCAGCCCAAATCGAAGAAGAAGATTGCTCGAAAGCCGCAGAGAGAAATTACACCCAAGTCGAAGACAGGAGAACTTCCAGCCCAATGAGACGAAGAAGAAGATTGCCTGAAAGCCTGAGAAGAATTGGAGCTGCAGACAAGCCGAAAGTCGATGAGAAGTTAAAGTTCATCCCCGGACGGCAGCGAAAAGAACCCTCAGACAAGAAGAACTTCCAGCCCAAGTAGACGAAGAAGAAGATTGCCTGAAAGCCTGAGAAGAATTGGAGCTGCAGACAAGCCGAAAGTCGATCGAGAAGTTAAAGTTCAGCTCCGGACGGCAGTGAAGAGACCACCTCAGACGACAGAGTTGCGGCTAAGTTGAAACAAGAAATCTTCCACCAAGTTGAAACAGGAAAACTACCAGCCCAAGCAGGCGAAGAAGAAGAAATACAACTCAAGTCGGAGAGAAGAATCAACTGCGAATGATCGATAGAAATTAGCCCCAGTGTCGAACTGAACCACACTCCGACATACATACATGATTCTAGAAAGTAGGTAATTCGACATTTTTCTATTGTGTGATAGAAGCTTGGTGCCATAGTCCACAGAGCGGGTCGGGAAATGAGAACAATTTTGTTTTTATGTAACGGACTTTAAGATATAAAAAGGTTGTTACCCTTTTATCAGCAATTTTGTTTGGTGTCGTGAGTTTTTTATTTTATTTGTGTTTTGCCACCCCCCGTCGGACTCAACTTGTATGTTGATCCCTGCTGGTCCCGTCTGTCTAAGATCTAAACACAGCGTGGGTAGACAGACCGGAGATCGGTATAGTTGCTTTAGTGACCAGGTATTGGGCGAGTCGGGAAAGGCGAGGCTGGTGATCATCTGACCAAAGGGTTGGGCGGCACGCTTGGACCCAGGAGGAGCGACCAGGAGGAGGAGCGTCACCGTTGGCGCCCGTAACCAAAGGATCCGACACTGGGCCAGGTGTGTAACCGTCACATATATATATATATGCACAGACACTCTGAGTGGGAACAAAAAGTATTTGAACACTGTCTAAAATCATTGACTCCTTGGGATTATCTAGAAGTGAATCTAGAAGTGAAGAGAATGAGTAAAACAATGGACTGGAATATTTGTTAAGCATAAAGCAAAATATGGCGAATTTTAACATGTGGACTTGCAAAAAATATGGCATGTCAAAAAGACAGCTTTTCTCTTGACACTATTATTACTGTATACTCTTTTGGGATATTTTTATTGTTTTAGAAGCTATTTTTAGAATTTTAATAAAACCCAAACATATAAAACTAGATTTATGCATTATGTGTGTAGGAGAAATGCACTTACCTTCAAAAAGACTGAAGGTGTGTATATGCTGATGGCATTGGCTCCATGCTACAAATAAAAACTGGAGCAAACTCATTCTGTTATTTATAAAAGAAAATGGTTAGTGAAATAGCCTGTATGTATTACCTATGGGGTTGATGGAACAACCCAGATATTCTGACTATGCATTACCTTCAAATGCATATAAATTCAGTGGCAGTGAACAAGTGAGTGGAGATGACAATGTAGATGAGGATTTGTCAGAAATTTAATTTCTGTATCTATCTTTCTATCTCTCTTACTTTCCTTCCTCCTCTTCTTTTCCCCCTGTATGCAGTGTAAGAACTGCTGCTGCTGTGTCACGTGATGAAATCGTGTCTAACGATTGGTCGTACGTGATTTTCCCGCTTGTTTTCGACTAGATTAGAGGAATCTAGTCAGTAGTAGCAAAAAAGGGCGCCGCAGTGTGGAGACGATAAGTCGTCTTGTCTTGCGACAAAAAGGAAACCTGCTTGAAGATAATCTGTTGTTGCTCTGACAAGGAAAACAGTCATAAAAGACCAGTCAAGAATATTTGTCTAAGAGAATTGAAGATAAAGAACAAGTGTGTTCGCCGTGTGGAAAAAGCTTATTCTCTAGACAAGTGAAGTAAAGTCTGTTCAAGTAATCAAGTGGATTATTGTTCCACAACCAAAGAACAAGTCAGTAAAGACTTATCTAAAAAATCAGTTAAAGAAACTATTGTAAAGAGAATTTACAATAGAACATTCTCAAGGAAGTCTTCTTTCGACAATCGGGCCGAAGAGAGAAAAAAGTCAAAATTAAGCGATTGAAAAGCTACCTTCCTTCGAGGAGTTATTTTGTCCTATTGGTGGACAAAATTCTGACGTGGAAAAAAAGTATGTGAAAAGAAGATCTTCTAAGTTGTCTCTAGAAGTTGAATTTGTGTCGCAGAGAAAGTTTGAAAAAACAAGTCTGCATTTATTTTTAACAGGAAGCTTGCTTATCTTCCAAGGAGAGCAACTCAAAAAAATATCTAAAAACCTTTCTGCCTAGCTACTTACTTTTTTTGAACAGTAAGTCTAATTTTTCCCCTCTTTCTGCTATCTCTCTACCTCTTTTACTCTCTCTGAACTGTTATTGGAGTCCTTTTTTAAGGGCTCGCCAAAGGGACATTTTTTGGCAGTTATTTTCAAGTTGTACAAGTGAACTTTAACATCAGACTATTTTTTTTCCCCCCTCATTTTATTTTTTTTCTTTTCCCTCAATAAATTTTATAGCTATTTCAAGTGGTTTTTCCTTCTTCTTTATCTCGCTTGTTATGGTTGTATATTCATGGTTTCAGGTCTCGTTAACTGTGTTACATGGGATTCCCGTCATCGGATGTAATGACAAAGTTTCCCAACCATTTTGCGCCGAGTTTGGCTGTTACTAAGCTAAATTTCGACAGATTTGCAGCTATTTGGACTGATGGCTCTATGTTGTAATAGTTTACTACACCTTTTTATTTGAAAATCAATAAATGTATTAAAAATTATGCTTCTAAATAAACAGTCTAATAAGTAAACAGTGTTTAACATTTTTCTTGTCACTTTTTGAGGGGAAAAAAATTATAAATCCAGATGCTTGCAACCTATTTTAGTGAATTTTTGAGGTGAGAGTTAATGAAAGAAATGCCTGGAAAATCCATTTTTAAAAATTTATAATTTACAGTTACTCATAGTTATGTGTTTATTTAAATTTTCTTACTTACAGACATTTTTATAAATTTCTGAATAAAAACATTTGTAGGTAGAGATTTGTCTATTTCATGTTCATGTGTGAATTTGATGGTAGTTTCTATGTTAAGTTTCTCTACCATCGAATTCATACATGAACATGAAATAGACAAATCTCTACCTTTCATTGACATTTTATTAAAACGTAGCAATAACAAGTTATATTTTAAAATTTAGCACAAACTCGCAAACAAAAATGATTTAATCAATTTCTATTCCTACCACAGCCAAAAAAAAATGAGTACTAATCACAGGATTTTACTGCAGAGCCCTAAGAATATGTAGCCCAGAATACTTAAATGAAGAAGTGAAATACATTGAAAAATCATTTAGACTTCTTCACTACCCACATCATTTCATCCTCAATGCTAGAAAATGAGTGTTACAAAGTCCACAAATCCAAAAAAGCAGACACCACCACTAATGACATAGATACTTCCAAAAACACAAAATTTATAATCCAACGCTATCAAAAAAATTTGAAAATAAATTAGTTATCCCTAACACTAGGATCTTTACTACCACCTCCAAGACAATTGAAGATACCGTTAGGAAGTAAAATAGATCCAACATTGTATCAGATGTTCAGATTGATGATATAAAATGCCTACAATGTATAAAAAGTTACACTGGTAAAACATCTCAAAATCTAAAAGCTTGTAGGTCTCAAGAGAGACCTACATTGGGACAACATTTTAAACTTGCTCATCATACATAGAAACAAAACAGGCCATAACTTCAATTTTATAAATACCAATTAGAAAAGAATATAATTTTTTATGCAGGAAATACTTTGAGGGAGTTCTGATAAATATTTTACCATCTATAAACACACATTAAACAAAGTTTTTATATCACCAACTTTTATAAAATCCATACTTAAAGAGTCAAGGATATGTTTACTTATTACAACAGGTGTAAATTATATCTCCCCACCTCAAAAAAAATCAAAACTAGATGCACATACACACATAAATGAATATAGATTATAATCCCACATAGACAAACTAGAATTAAGATACACATACACACATGAATTATACACACAAATGCTGCTTGACGAGACCTATACACAAAGTTTGCTTAACCAATATGAAACAAACAACACAAAAATTAAAAATAGCAAAATTTTGTTTGTTTTTTTCCTTCATATTTCATTCTATGATGAATCTTTAATAAAAGTGAAACATGTTAAACTCATAAACATTTCCCATTTGTTCCTTATCCTATCATATATGAAAGAAAAAATAAATATGCATCTATGTATATAAACCAAAGGTAAAAAAAAAAGTTTCCTGTGAAGTAGTGATTGTTAGAAACATGAAACTTTTTCCTCTACCCATTTGAAGAGAAAATTGGAATTTACTGAAGTTGAGTTCACTTGAGTTTCAGTTAATTTTTGGCATTGTTATAATATATTTAGTTTGCTACTTTTAAGTAATTTTTCTTAATTAAAATAAAAAAAACAAAAAAAATTTCTTTTTTCTCAGGTATCTGCTTGTGGCTGGTTGAGGAAAATTCCTTCCCTTTCTTGGCGATGTCATCTTCTCTGTCAGTGTTTGGTGTGGATTTTTTTCAATATCATCATGGTGATCATTCGAGTAAGTATAAAACTTTGCTAGTAACTTACAAACATTTTGGAGGTAAGAAAGATTTTAGTAAAATTATTCCAGTAGATATATAATTTGTTGACTGTCTCTACTCAAATTTTCATTAGAATGGATGTAATTATATAAACCTCAGAGTGGAGTGAGTCCTATAATAAGTGAGCAAATTTAATTATTAATGTGTTATGTCTTATTAATGAGCACTATAATTGCAAAAATTGCTTGCCTTAAAAAACATTTCCCAGAATTACCTGACGTTTTTTCTTTTTTCAAAATACAATATTTGTTATTGTTGCTTTATATATATATATATATATATATATATATAATCACTTGTCCCAGTACTTCCAGAACTGTATTAAATCAAAAATTTCTAGTTCACTAATGCACTTTTGACTTCATCAATTGATTAGACTCCCTATTTTACTATATTTCATAGATTTTTCAAAGAATTCTTATCTGTTGAAAAGTTTAATATTTTTTAATATTCTGTTTCTTAGATTTTTCTTATTGCTAACAAATGAAGAACAGAAGCCATATACATCACAACTTGAACCTAGAATTACCAAAGTCTGGTTTCTTTAATAGTTGAACTTTCTCATGGATCAATTTAACACTATCATTGCCACTTGTATCTTTTTCAAAGATAAAAATAAATTAATCAATATAAATTTTTTATATGGCTGGAATCACCGGCCATATAAAAAGCTCAAAAACAGGAATTTCATTTTCTTATAAATTTGTTTTGACAAAGCAGTTTGAACTACCAGTTACTGGAATATGAATCTTATCATTATGTCTGATAATTTAAATAAATAAATGGCAAATTCTGTCTGTCCATCTGTATCACTGGAATCCCTCTTGTTCAGGCCATACTTACTTTACATAGACATATTATACCTTTTTGAGATCAGGATGATCCCAGGGTTGAAAGTCTGCCCTACATCTGATGCTTGGACATCCAGCATTGGAATTTGTGTCTGGATGAGAAGGGAACAGTTAAAAATTCAAATTTTAAAATAACTGCAAAAAATTAGTGATTTTAAAAGTTTTTAATTTATATTGAGTTTAAAGTAATCCAAAAACTTTGTGAATTTAAAAAAAATTGTGAGGTTTTGATTTCTATGGAGTAAATTGAGGAATTCAAAGTTATTTCTTCAAACTTATAATTGCTGCTTTCTAAGCTAAACCAGAGGTCCCTTTAGTTTAGATTGGAGGCCCAATTAGTTCTATGCAGAAGCTAACTTAAAAGTCCACACAGATTGCAGCTTTTAACCTGGTAATAAATAAATTGATTTTTGTCTACCAACGGTTTGTAGAAACAATGGTGTACTAATGCCTTTCTCATATTCCTATATTACATGCGTGTCATGGATGTTGCAAGGACAAGGTTAATAAAGAGATTCTTTTAAATCCTTTCACCCCAAACAAGTCTGGAATGCCACTAGAATATAGGGGGTTACAGGGAGTGAAAGAGAAGGCTGAGAACTGAGGGAAGAACAAAAAATGAACAGAGTTCAAGAAGATAGTGATTGACATTGCATTTAAATTTTTGAAGATTGTAGTTATCAGGGAAGCAAGAAAACAGAAGGGAGTTCCACAAATGGGAAGTGTGAAAAAAAAAGTTTTTGGAGTAGAAGTGGCTGTTGCATTTAGCTATTTCAACAGTAAAATGGTGAAACCTAGTTGCCAGGCTAGTAGCACGCTTAAATTCATGTAATTTCGGGGCACCAGGGAAAAAGCTTGTCAGAGCAGTTGCCATGAAAATATTTGTAGCAAAGACAGAGGGAAGCCACACCAGATCGGTGAGAAAGTGACTGAAGTTGAGATGCCTGATCAGGATTAATTACATTACAGATCCTTTGGATTTTGCCAAGAATCTCAAGATGTCCAGCAGTAGCACCAGACCCGATATGTCAGCAGTATTCAATGCATGGATGAGGGAAAAACAACTGATGTTAGTTCAGAAGAATTGAATAACTAAAGTAAATACTGGTTTTAATAAGCAGTCAGTAAAATATGGTTATGAACACCAACAACCAAAGTAAATAACAGTTTTAAGCAGTCAGTGAAAAAGGGTTAGGAAAACCATTAACTATGAAAATAATGGTTTTAACAAGCAGTGATCAAAAATAAAAGAATTAATTCATGAAGTTATTTACACTATTTACAAGTGGACTGTTGTCCTCAACTAAATTGTTGTTATCACATAACAACAACAAAGATGAGGACAATAGTCTGCATGTAAATAATGATATCTCTTCATCCCAGAAATTCAGACAGAAATTTATGAAAACTTGTCAGTTTATCTAATTGATGCCAATTGCTGCCTGGCCTTTATGTATAGTTAAGGATCTCACGAGATAGCTTTGGGAATGAGCCTAAGTAGATAGGATCAATGTTTTTTATTTTTATTTTTTTTTATTTTTACATGTAGGTTACCAAATATTTTCATTTTGGGTGTATACCATATGGCTTATTGCCAAACTAAGCTCACAGCTCATGAATATGTATACAAACATATATATGCACATTGATTGATAATATCTTTTTCTATGTGCTATGTTCTTTCAGGGTGTTGGCAATCATGGCTCTCTACAATTTCCTGCCTTTTGTGGTGCTTAATTTTGTCTTTTGGTTATCTCTCTTAAATGTTAAAGTTGATAAGCAGTGGTGTGAAATGTCGCCACGTGGTGTGGTAATTATATTCGGCGCCTTTTCTTGAGTTTTAAGATTGAACAGAATGTGGTTGCTAAATGTAGTGAGAGAATGCTGAATTTGCAGTATTAATAGCAAACAAATAACGTGTGTGTGCAAATTCTCAAAGTGATGTTGCATCATAAGTAAAATAACAATGAGTCATCCAGAAATGATATGTTCAATCCAATGAAAAATTGTTGAATTAAGTTTTGCTTCCATGTCCATACTGTGTTATGCGGTTGAAGTTCAATAGAGTAAATACTGTAGAAAACTGTTTCTCTATAGCTCAAGTGAAGATTCAGTCTTGTTGTCACTTGTTTCTGACATATTGTATATGTCTATCGGGTGAAATTGGGTGGGATGAGGCTCAATCCGTAAAGATGTATAAATGCCACCGCGAGAAAGAAAGGGTAAGGTTCATGTCATAGTAGTAGTCATGGCGATTCAAGCTTCTGTGATTTCAACATGTTGTAGAAAAATTCTTTTTGCTGCGCAGGAGAAAATTGTTTTGTAGACATATTGTTGTGAATTAAAATTGTGATTTGCACTTACATCAGGTCTAATCACAAATTTTGTTGCTATATAAAAGTGTCTGGGGTGCGTCTCGTTTTTCTCTCTGAGTTGTAATTCTGTGTGTTTCACTTGTGTATGAGAATTTCAATGTTCTTCCTAATCATATCAACCTCATCAATGAAATGTGGCCCTCTCAGATTACGTCAGCCTTTTCCAATCACATCAGTGGTCACCAATGAAATGTGGCCCTCTAAGATTACGTCAGCCTTTCCTAATCACGTCGGGGTCACCAATGAAATGTGGCGGACTTCACCACATTAATATAACTTAGATTAGGAAACCAAACTGACGTGAAGAAAAAAGGATAAGCCAAAGACATCATTATACATAAAATTTGTATTTAACAAGATGTACAAACAAGGATGTGAAAGAAAGGCATGCATTGAGTAAAACAAGAGTTGTCTCTCTTTAACTATTATTTGTATTTCAAAGTTCAATGAAAGAAAGTTTGAGAGTTTCTTGTAATGAATGACTTCAACAGTGTTGCTGTGTAAGGAAAAAGAGATTATGTGAGTATAGGGAATATTCAGCATGCGAGGGGTGGTGTGAGTGAGGAGGTTGGAAAAGTTCATAAGAGTTCGTACGTACGTGAATGCATGAAATATTATTTAACGTCTAACCACATGGTTGAGACTATAATTCTTAAAGGTCACATCTTCACAAGAGAGAAAAAAGAGAAAGAGGTGAACACGTGTTTTTTATTTATAATCACGTGACAGGATCACAGCACCTTGGCAGGAAACTTGACTTAGTCACGCGCTGGAAAAATATATTGTGTGTGGGTGGATTGCAATGCCCACTTGTGTGTTTATTGACCATTGACAAAATTGTTTACATGAAAATATAGTGATTATAAAATTGTCACATAGCTGTGATTTATAAATTGTCCATTACACAGTAGTGTTGATTTATTATCCAATGAATGCTTATTGTTGTATAATTTGAATTTGTGTAAGTATGTATGTATGTATGTGATGATGATCATCACAATATGTGTTCATTTTATTTCTATTTTCTCTAAAATTTTGTCATTGCTCACATGTTTGGCCCATGCTATTCTCAGCATCCTTCTGTAAAATCACATTTCTGTTGTTTCACTTCTCTTCATTTGTGCAGAGATTGTCCAGCATTCACTGCCATATAGGAGCACTGATATTGTGTAACAGTTCAGTACTCTTTTTATTGCTCCTAACAAAATTTTCCTGTAGATTAATACTTTGTTTAGCTTTTGGAAGGCATCATTCGCTATCTCAATGCACCTTCAGATATCAGTGTTGCATTTTCTGTCTTCTGTTAACACACTTTCTAGATATTTAAATTATTGTACTTGTTTGATTTTGGTATCTTCAATTTGTAATTTACATGTTGGGCTGTTCCTTTTCCTGACAACCATGCATTTTGCCTTCTTACAATTGATGATTACTGTAAAGGAATAACTCAGCTATGCCATAAGATAACATTTCATTTCCAAATATTTTTAACAGATTGTCTACAAACTGAAAACTTAAACTTGTTTTGTTTCTGAAGATGCATGTGAGTAAATAACTGAAATAGTGAATAAATCTGTTTGAAGTTAATTATATTTAAAATATTTACTCAAATTTTAGATTTGTATTGATATATTTAATGCAAAATTTTAAAAATTTGTACATATTACTTTAAAAATTTATATATACTAGTGTTTAATATATTTTCTGTTTATACATTATTTTCATAGATACAATTTATTTAAGTAAATGCTCTGTTTTTTAAATAAACTGTATTAATTACATTTACTGGCATGAATGTTTGAGAAATTTCATAGAATATATGTGCTTCTCTAACAGGAATCAAACCTTTAAACCCAAAGTGAACCATCATTTGATCTGATGTGCTGTTAACCATTCAATCATAAAGAAGCATCTGGTTGCAAAGTCTGAATTACTGTTTATAAACAACAAATTTGTGGATAAATGATTAACAGGACATCAGATCAAATGATGGTTCCTTTTGGTAGCTACAGATTCGGATCCTGTTTATTTAAAAAAACAGAGCATTTACTTAATCTGAACTGTATCTATTAAATAAAGTATAAACAGAAAATATTAAATAATTGTTGAACTTAATCCATTTTATAATATGTTGCAGATCCTTCTTTGGATTTTGCCAAATTAAATATATTTACAACAGTAAATAAACTTAATGTTTTTCTTAAATTTTTTATTATTTTCTCCCAGGGTTTCTTCTATGTAACAGAAACATCACATTATCGAAATCGTTTGTTCTATTACCGGAAACCTGTATGGCTCCATTTACGGCAACTTGCAGTTCAAAGTAAGTTCATCGCAATATTTTCACACATATATATATTATAATACAACACAAAAATGCCTATCAAAATACATAAAAATTACTGTATATACTCATGTATAAAGCTAACTTCATGTATAATGCAATTCCTGCTTGAATTTTAATCCCACCAGAAAACAATTACCTGTATATAAAGCAAATGATCACCAATAATGTATGAATTTTAACCTCTTCAAAAAAATTACCTGTGTATAGTGTGGCCCCCTATTTTTTACGTACAAAAACGATCATAAAAACTTACACTATACTCAAATATATAGAGTACTATAATTTAATGTATTTTAAGGCTAGCAGAATTTTGCCAAAAATGTGTTCAATTGATAACTAGAGGAACAATAAACCAATAAATATTCAATGGGCTTATCTCATTGACCTCTGCCCATCAGGGTCAGATTGTCTGATGAATCAAATGAAATTATTACTAGATCTCATATTTAAATTCTACAGAAAAATAAAAATTTACAGTCTCCATTAAAACTGAAATCCAAATAATATTAGTAGTGAAATATGATGAAAGCTTTTCTCCTCCATAAGATGGCATAGTCAACATCATATAACATAATTTTATATTTAAATAAAAATAACTATTTTTTCCAATTATAACTTTTTTTCAGAATGAATATCTTTACTTATTCTTTTCCTGCTGCTTTGAAAAATATTTTGCTTTAAATTTTTTCTTTATTAATCTAACCAAATCCTTTAGTAAAAAAAAGTACCTACCTACCTACACATACATACACACACACACACATATATATATATATATATATATATATATATATATATATATAAAATTCCCATAACCAGAAACACTATTCTTAAAAGAGTGCTCAATATCAAGTAGAACTAATAATATTTATTCAAATTTATAACATGTGCATGTTATAAGATCACTACAAAAGTTGCAATTTTGTTTTGACACTTCTAGTGTCTTATCAAGTGATCATTTGATAAGATACCAGAATTGTCAAAACAAAATTACAACTTTTGTAGTGATCTTATAATATGTACATGTTATAAATTTGAATAAATATTATATATGTATATATAGTTTTTATATTTATGTTTCGTATGAGACAACAATCCTGCACGGGATTTTCAAACAAATCCACACAAAGGGCATACTGAAGAGTTGACAGTCATATGGGCTGATGTATTAGCCCGAGATTTAGTGTTAATTCTTAATACTCTTAGATGGTTGAGACAATTCTTTTCAAAGTTAGTTATACCTTGGTAGCAGCTTTTCTCCAGTTTGCTTGGTTTTCAACAGCAAATTCAAACTCCTCTATAGGAATGTTTGCAGCAATTAAATTATATTTAACTTTATCCTTGAAGCGTAACCAAAGACGGCCTACGTCATGCTTACCATAAAAAAGTTGGCTATACATAAGGATTTTTGGCATCCGATCAACACATTCTGATGACATGACCAGCCTATCTGAACTCTGATTGCATAAGAAAGGATTTAATATCATCGAAGCCACATATGATGAAATGATCCGGGTTAGAGATTTTGTCCTGCTGAGTATAACCGCATATTGAACGAAGATAGTGTTTATGAAAAGTTGATTGATATGCATCCTGTATGGCGTCCATGATTCTCGCCCATAAAGAAGTGTGGTAAGAATGATTGATTGGTAGACACTGATTTTCGTTTTCAGTGAAATCCCATGAACATCCCATAGGTGATGATATATATATATATATATATATATATATATATATATATATATATATAAAATAGGTTAATGACCAGTGATGAAAATATTAAAAAACAGTTCATGATTAAGTTTAGAAATAATCTCTCCACACATCATCTCATTTGAGAGAAAATGCCGCTTGTTGAAAAAAAATTTCTATTCCTTGAATTACAATTTGACATATGTAATTCATATTGGATATAATGCCCTGCTAAATGCAACTGACAGATTTTAAAAAGAAATTTTCTGACCTGATATTCTTTTTTGCACTCATCATGAATTACAACTCAGAATTAATTATCCAATGTTATTTTTTTTCCTGATGAAAGAATACAAATGTAATTCCTGCAAACCTTCTCTAATTTGATGACCGTTTTGAAAATGCGATTGCTTATATCTTTTCCTTAGAACCTCCTGACAAGATATAAGCTGGCAAACTTATCTTCCACTATGCTATATATGTATATTTATACAATCATAATCATCCCAATTTACTTTTATAACTTTGTGTCTTATTTTTTTATATTGTTTATTTTTATATTTTGCATAGTAAAATCTATAAAACTTATATTCTGTTAAGAGAAATTATCAAAATAAATAACTTCATTTTTGTATAATTTTCTCATATACTTTGCCAAGACCTTTGTAGATGTTTTGCTTGTAAAATGTGAATAGTTTGTGACACTATTTAGCTATGGTAATTAACTAACTAATTAACCATAGAAATTAAAACAGGAAATACTGAAGGCAGAAAGAAGTTATCTTGAAAGATATACCGTTTGATGCTAAAAAGATTTTATTTTATTTATGAAAAAGATACTTTTCACAAAAGACAGTAAACCAGTAGAAAAAGCCATATGTGAGATTTTATCAAATTGATTAATATTATTGTAAAGAAGTGCCTTGCCGAGAGAGATAGGAGATTCAGAAAGAAATGTAAAACATTAAGATATCGGAAAGACCACATGGCGGTCATAAAATTTCGGCCTGAGACGATTGCCGATACAGGGTAGGGAGAATCAATATTAATTATCTTTCCAAGATATTTTTTTTTTCTTGAGTGCTGGCAAGGAAAAGCAATGTGGTGATTATAAAATTTTGGCATTTGTCTCAATACGGGTGGAGAGGACCGTTATTATTTACTTTACCAAGGTATCGCTTTCAGACGCCGAGATGTTGAGTAGCAATGTGGTGATTGTAAAATTTTGGGCAGGAGAAAAGATAGCATGGAAGAATTGTGATTTGGTAAGATAAACAATTTAATTTCTCAAGAAGCCAAGGGTTCCAGTATAAGCTAACTTCACGAAGGGACTAGGTAGAAAACTTTGACAGTGATTGATGGAATTGGTAAAGAGTGCTGGCTAAGTGGATTCTGAGTGACCAAAAGATATGATAGATTTTAAGTGGCAATATGGGATTTGTAAAAATTTTGGCCAAAGGAGAATTTTGTAAACAAAAATTCTGGATTATAATTTTAAGGAGGCCAGCTTAGCCACACTCACACGGCTGAGATGCCATTGGTCGAGTGGTAGCAATGGTGATAGGCGGAGGTGAATGAATGAGAAGGATGGAGAAGTTATTAACGCCACTGAAGGGATTGGTATGATATATCAATGTGAGAGTGGAAGAGTTTAGGAGGATAGCTCTCCTCCGACCTCTCCTCATGGACGAGGGAGACCCCCACCAAAATGGAATGTGATTAAATTTCCAAAAATGGGAAGTAATCAATTTTCCTGGCCTGACAACAAAGATATTTCTTGTTGGAAATCAAGATTTACCGAGAACCCCAGTCCACGCATGACCCCGCACCGGGTTTTGGTCAGTACCCATATAAACATATATATATGACAGTAGCAGTTGGAGTCAAGTTAGTTCAGTTCAAGTAGCGGGAACCAGAGTGTTGCCTTGTAGAAGCTGACCAAGAGATTCCACGACTTCCGACTTCGTTCATCCTACCAATAGCAAGTTAGACTGACGAATGAAGCCAAGCCAGCACCTAAGAACTAAATCAGTTGACTTAAGATATCAAAACTTGCTTGAAACATAAGTGTCACATTCCGTAGAAAACATACTTGAACCTCTTGGGTTTTTCTTTTATTTGCTTCTTTTTCTTTATACTTGTGTGATATCACCTTCAGTCTGGACTCAGCTTATACTACAACCCGACATCTGATTGATCTCGTCTACCTAAGATCAAAATCACAACGTGGGTAGGTTAGACTTGAGATTGAAGCAGTTACTCCAGTAACCAGACGTTGGAAGTGAGCTGGGAACGACAGAGCTGGTATCGAACCAGTACAGCTGGCGTGAAGCCATTAACATCGACGACCAGAATTCGACCCTGGACAGGCCAGTGTCACATATTGGTATCCTGACAAAGGGATTCTGCCGAGTGGCGATGACCACCAATCGACTGGGACACTGGCTGGTGGCAGTGACTAAGAGTCAACCCCAAAACGCCGATGGAAGAAACATTACAGCTTCACGCCGCGACTGGGAGTTGACCACGGGCCAAGAGCTCAGTGTCATAGTTATTGTTTTAATATTTGTCCAACCTTTTTTGTGTGATTACTTCTTTGCAATAAAAAGGCAACTGTTGTACTATATTTTTTTACTGATAGAACTTCAGTTTTGCAAATGAGTGTTGCTATAGTTCCTAAAAGATTTCATTTGCTAGAAACGTTAAATAATTACTAAAGGCTAACTAAATCCTGAATACAAGTTGAAACAATGTTTTTTGTAAATTTCAATGCTTTCAAATTGTGGATTGATATTTTTTTTTTAGTATAATGTTCAGTACATGAAAGTATATACTCCTCCACTTTCTTGGTTCTTGCTGTGGAGGTGGGGGTTTCACTCTGTCAGTTGCTCATCCCCACCCATGTTATGGTTTAGTTTTTGATCTAAGATAGTTTTAGGTGAAGCTAGTTGATATACCCCCAAAAGACACACAATGCATGCTTGTAAAAACAATATATAGTTTATTTGCCCATGACTGAAGTGATCAATCTAGCCCTTCCCAATTCCACAGTGCTATAGTATGCATAATTATGGCTGGTTTGGGAGATAGGTGCCAGCATTATTCACAAAAAACAATAGCAATTCAATCAGAGAACTTTGGGATTTTGGGCCTGCAGATAAAGTTGATCTCCAGAATCTGGTTTTCAACTCAACTTGATTGTTAGTTTGTAAATAAAAATTTGTTAGGCCGGAGAAAATTTCTTCAGTTGACCAGATTCTTATCAGATTGTATTTTGGATAGGGTTGTGGAGTATGGGTAGTTGAGTCAAGTTAGTTCAGTTCGACTACTTTTATTTTGGCCTAATGCTTATGGAACCATTGGGAGTTTCTGTATTTATTTTTTTCAGTTGTCAAGTTACAAGTTAATTTGTATAGGTGCATAGTAACAGGAGTAGTAGATTTGTGACTTCATCCTTTAGTTACATACTAACAGGGTCAGCCAAATTTTTGACATCATATATAGTCAAGGCAGAATATAGGAGAGAAAATATTTTTAAAAATTAAAACAAACGTTTTTTTTTTAAAGAATTAAAAAATAACAAAATTCCTCTACTGAATTTTGGCCCAAATTCCACTCAGCAGAGACATCTAATCTATATTAACTGTCATTTTTCTAGCAGTAAGTGAGAGGTGGAGAGTAGATGCTCCTTGTTTTACTTGATCATACTAATTAGAATCCTGTTAAATCATGGGTTCAAACCCAGACAATTACAGGTCCTAATTCAATAAATTCTTTTCATTTCTTCAGCAGTCCAATTTAAATAAGGAAAACGGACACACACAGTATTTCTGGTTTGCCAGTAAAATCCAAATTACTGGTTAGGTATCTAAGATTTTCACATCAGTTTATCAAATTAATTCCTATTCCAACCAGTACCATGTATACATTCATTTCCTTGTAAAATCCACCCCAATAATTCTATTATATTCCTCCCTCAACCACTTATAATTTACCCTTGTAAATTACAACTATAGCAATTCCCATTTCATCTGATGGCAGGTATAGATTCATTTATTTGCAAAATCCATCCAATAATTCTGTTACAAATTAACATGTATATAATAGAACAGGAAGAGTCTAATATTTTTTTTTTTAAATTCTGATATAAAACTACATGTCTGTCATTCCACTAAAAGTTGTTTCGAATTATATATTTCAATAAAACCTCATGTTTTTTACTTAAAAAAATCATAAATTAAAAATTATAATGGTTTTGTATGGAAGGTTTGACTGTGAACATGGAACATGACAAGTGAGTATGAATATTTATTGAAAAAGCAACTTATTTTGATGTTTTTGTTTTACATATTTGAGTGGTAGATGCATCAAATTAATGATTATTACTTTGTTTTTTACAGATTTTCTTTCAAAAGGCATGTTAAAACCTATAAAACATGTAAGTGCTTTTACTTTTTATTCACACTTTTTAATTATAGAATTTCAGAAAAATAATTATTTGCTATAATTTAATTTGAATACTGACAGACCTTCCTTAAAGAAGCTCCTAATGCAGAACGTAACATTCCCACTCTTTTTGATGTCAATCTTTTATAAAAATGTCAAAATCTTATTATGCCTTTTAATAAATTGCAGGAGGAAGTCTTTCAGAAAATGGTGAAAGGAGTTTGTCTTGGTGTGTCATGTTTGCGTTTCCTTCCAAAGAAGAAATCCTTTCGGCCAATTATAAATATGAATTGTGCTAACCTGAAATCATTACCTAAGGTAACATCTCTCATTTGTAATGTTTGCTTATAATTTTGTTATTAATATTCAAATGGCACTTGATGATAATAGAATGAGTCTTTGTTTGTAGGTGATGTCAATCTTCATTTTTATTTTTAAGAATTAAGGCAGTGTAAGGATGCTAAGGGAAATTATTTCCCTTTTATTTAGACAAAATAACAAGGGCCTTGTGACAGCTGATGAGTGATATCAGTTCATAGTGTTGGAGTCAGTTACTACTTATTCCACTCTGAGGCAAGACATGTTTGCCCAGGCCAGTTGTTATTTAGCACACAGGAGAGGCAAGACATGTCTGTCCATGCCAGTTGCTATGTAGACCATAGAGAAAATAGACATTATAAGCCCACAGTGATTGGGCATACAGAGAAAACCATATAGTCTCACTAGGTACATGGACAACACCACTGACCTGCCTGTTTTCCCATTGAGAAATATTGCAAGTAAAGCTCTTTCTCTTTATCTCTTTCACACCACTTGTTGTATACATATGTTATAGTTTCTCCTTGTGGGGCAAATTAGTAAATGTATGTATATATTTGTATAAAAAATCTCTTTGAAAACCATGCATGTTTGTCATTCTTTTCTTTCAGCTATTCTGTTCTGTTCTTGTATTAAAGTGTTATCATATTGCAGATATATTTATGGCCATAATGGGAAATATCCCTTCTTTCATAGCACCTCCATTAGCAGTTATAGGGATTTTTTTATAACACTGATTGCTGCTATGCTGTTGTTGTATTATTCTAATTATTTTGCAGTCGTGAACAACCATTGATCTTCAAAATTTATGAAGAGAAACACTCTCATCATAGACTCTTCATGATGAATTTGTATTTTCATAGTCAGCATAAAGAAATTGTAGTAGCTTTCCTAATTTGAACAAGACATCTTTAGGAAGCCATTGATGGTAATGGCAAGATTAACCATTTCCATACAAGAAAAATTTCAAAATTCATTGACAGAAACAGCATTACTGTCTGTTGACATTTATAAAATCCTTTCTCCTAAAACAGTTTTGGAGAAAAATTGTTTTCTTAAGTTCACTAATTGTTATAACTTTTTCGATTATTGGTGATCGTTTTCTTCCTAATCTTTTATTTATGGTAGTGTGGAAAATCCAACACTGACTATGCCACTTTTCTCATAAGTAAACATTTCTTTCTTATTCCAGAAGCTTCCAATCAAGCAACAAGTGTCTGGCCTCTTTTATATTTTCAATGTTATTAAGGTGAGTTGCTTTTGTTAATATTTACTGGATTTTTACTTCTAAAACACTTGTAGCAAAAATAAAAATTACTTCTCTTGTTTTTATCAATCAATGTATGCACAGAAGTGTGTGTGTATGTATATGTATATATCAGGTCATCCCATAAGTTCTGTTCGAATTTTAACTTTTTGTTAAAATGAACGAAATTTAAAGAGTATTTTATAATGTCTAATGGAGCTGAACATTATTCTTATGTTTAGATGCATGTAAACTGATCAAATTTTATTTCAGAGAACAATAAAATTAAATTTTGTTTGATTAAAACCCTGCTAACATGGAAGTACCCAAGAATCATTTGAGGCACATAATGCTTTATGAGTTCAAGAAAGGAAACTCAGCAGCCAAAGTGGCTAGAAACATTCACTCAGTTTATGGAGAGGAATGTGTGAATGAAAGAACTTGCAGAAGATGGTTTGCAAAATTCAGAGATGGAGATTTCACCCTTGTAGATTAAGATCGAACTGGACATCCAGTTGAGTTTGATGAAAAGCTTCTTGAAGCAGCCCTTGAAGAAAATCCTGCTTTATCAGTTGAGGAATTGGCAGTGGTTCTCAGTTCAAAGCATGCAACTGTTCATCATCATCTTCAACAACTTGGAAAAGTTCCTAAACTTGGAAAATGGGTGCCTCATGAATTGCCTGAAAACAACCTCAAATCCCAAGTTGACATCTGCTCTTCTCTCCATTCTCGCCAACTTGTTTCACCTTTTTTGGATAGACTTGTGACTGGCGATGAAAAATGGATCTTTTATTGAAATGTTAAGCATCGTAGACAGTGGCTTAGTAAAGGGGAAGGACCCCAGCCACAGCTGAGAAGGGAACTTCATGGGCAAAAGGTTCTTCTTTCAATCTGGTGGGATCACCAAGGAATAATCCACTTTGAATTCTTACCACCTAATGCAACAATTAATGCTCAAATATACTGTCAGCAATTAGAGCATTTGAACCAAGCTTTGAGGAAAAAAAACCTGCTCTAGCAAATCGAAACGAGGTGTTGTTTCATCAGAACAATGCGTGACCCCACACAGCAAGAATCACATCACAAAAGATTGAAGAACTTGGTTGGGAGAAAATTCCTCATCTACCTTATTCTCCCGATCTTGCTCCTTCAGACTACCATTTGTTTCGTAGCTTACAGAATCATTTGGAAGAAACAGCTTTTGTAACACAGGATGAGGTTAAAACTGACATTTGTGAGTTCTTCAAATCAAAGCCAAAAGAATTTTACAGTAATGGAATTAGTACGCTTGTTAATAGGTGGAAGGAAGTCATATATAATCAGGGAAAATACATTCTTGATTAAATCTGTAATTAAATGTAACATTTGGTCACTTGTTTGCTTTATTCAAAATTTGGACAGAACTTATGTGATGACCTGATATATATCCAAATGTAAAAGAACGAAGTGTAAGATTTCAGTGTTCAAAACATTGATTTAAAACAGGGCTCAATACAAAAATAGAGCAATAAATATTTATTTATTATGCAGTGTTACATTAGAACATACACATACCCACTACAAAACTGTATATCTTATTTCAATGTTAAAAAAATCAAAAAATGCAGTTAACGAAGCACAAAAAAATTTTTTTAAATGCAATTAATGAAGCACATCTTCCACTTCCATCAATGACGGAAGTGGAAGATGTGCTTTGTTAACTGCATTTGGGAATAAAATATTTTAGCAGCATTGTGATTTCCCACCTGATGAAATGTTAAAAAAGTTTTTTTAGCATTGAAACAAGATGTACAGTTTTGTAGTGGATGTGTGCATGTTCTAATGTAACACTGCATAATATATATATATATATATATATATATATATATATATGGCCTGATGATTGCATAAGCTTGGAACAGACTTGCTACTGGATGTTGATTCAGTGTCCACTTTTATATTTATATATGCTCTATTCCTGATATTGAGCACTGTAATCCATAAATATAGCATACTATATTTTATCATATATATATATATATATATATATATATATATATATATACTCGGGCATATGCACATACACACATGCTTATATCTTAAAGATGTGATTATGCAAGCACAGTAATAATTAAGCAAGTTGCATGTGTCTTCGAAGTTGTGTGCATGTAAGCAAATAATCTGCACTATCCCTAATATCCAAATAATCTTTACCAAGAACAATATTTTGCAACCAAAGACACATGCATATGTAAAATATTCTTCATAAAAAGGATGAAAAGGGGGAAAATATGCATTGATATTGAGGAGGAAAGACTTGTTTGAAGAATTTGCAAGACATAGTAGTCCTGATTGTTGACAGCAACAATTAGAGTTCACTAGTTGGTGAAACTAAAAAAAGTGCTAAACAGTTGAACTAATCTGACATTTTGCTAGACTTAAACTACAGATGCTACAAATATGCATTTGTGTTTTGTTTTCTTTTAATTAGGATCAGGACAAAGTTAAAATAAAAAACAGTTCTATATTTTGATCTTAAGCAGAAAGGAAGAGGTTCACATTTTTCACAGCTGAAAATTGTTAATATTCATATTAACCCAGTTATGTAGGCATTCCTTGCATTTAAACCTTTCCTATTAGCTGTGAGCTATTTGCTTGTTAGTGAATAAATAAAACAGTCAAAATGCTATGGATGTGTGTGATTATATTATATTCTGATATGAAATTTAACAGTTTATAATTTTTGTTTGCACAGGAAAAATACCCAGATTTAATGGGTCATTCTGTATTTTGTATTGATGAAATCTACAAAAAGTGGAGGACATTTGTTATGAAAAGACAACAAACTAAAGACAAACGGTAAGAACCTTTTTTTTGGGGTAGGGTATGGATCTAATATTTTTGCAGCATTTTATATTTTGTAATATTAATTTTCAGTAGTTTGTCTAAAAGAATTCTGGCTTCATGTTTTCATAACATAAAATAAAACAAATGATAAATTGGTGTGAATGTCTCTCGTTGAAGGAAGGAGATAAGTGGAGTTGTAAATGGCATCTGCGGAGGCGTATAGTAGAAGAGGGAGGGTGAGTTGTGATGGCCTTTGGTGAGCTGTCTTTTGGCAATGGGAGGTTGCTTTCCAACAAAGTCTGTGAACCTTGGTCAAGATATCATTCAACTGTCAAAAATATCCCTTTGATGGGCTTTTATGTTTCTTTAAGCTGGAATGGGTGCTATTGGGTAGAAATTCTGGATTGTATTGCTTATTTTTTCTTTGAGTGTGTGAGTAAATACAGAAGCTATATGTAGAACTTGACAGAATTTTAGTTCAGTCTTGGGTTTTAGTGTTCATATCCAGCCAGTGTTGGAAATTAGTGTAGCATGACTCAGCAGATGTGGTTTCAGGAAGAATGTAACAAAGGAATATATATATATATATATATATATATTATATATATATAAACTTAGCCAATGCCAGCACAAGCCCAGATGAGGAAGCATTGGAATAGAATGATTGTGTTGCACCAAATTTTCAAGTAAAAAATGTTAGACTGCTTTGAAAACAAATATTTAAGAAAATTTTGAACTGAACCCTTTATTTAATCTATAGAGGTAGATTGTTTTCATTCAGCCATCCATTTCTAGGGATATCTCAGCTTGTTCTTTTTTTAGTACTACTTAGTTATTCTTGATCTTGTTGCTACTGAGTCTGCAATACTTTGCCCAGGGATTGAACTCACAGTTGCTATGCCACCAAATTCACAGACCAACATTTTAATCCAGTGGGGAAAATCTTGATACTAGAACTAAGAGTTTTAAATCTCATTATTATTGCCTCCTCGGCAATAATAATATGAGATTTTTTTCATGTTAAGCTTGATTTTCTCCATCATTACTTCTCTTTCTTACTTCTGCTGCTGAAGTCTTTCTGTTGTTATTTCCAGTGTATGGTTGCAAAGGAAAGAACAAATAAGGATTTAAGTGAAATGAAAAGGACTTACCTGGTATGGATTCACCAGTATGAGTTCATGAGGTAGACACACATTTATTATCATGAGTAGGGTATCATTGGAAGCATTGATACTGGACTAAATCATGGTGGTGATATTGACAGCCCATTAGTGTCAACAGCTAACCTATCAACTGTATTTATGAGGGGGCTTTGTTTTAAGCAAATCTTGTGGCTCCCAGACTCATTTTTTGTTTTATATTGTATTTTTGATTTTTTCAAGGATTTGTATTATAGGCCAGATGTGATGCTTGGAGCCTCCATTGAAAAGACAGCTTTTTCTATTTTGGGTTTTGCTTTCTTCATTTGGTCAACATGTAGAGTGAATCAAAAAGAGATCTAATTTGCAGCAGAGTATAACCATGTCATAACTATCATAACTTCTTTTACTTCTACTGCTGAAGCCTTGCTGCTAATCTTGGCTTTCTCCACAGTCATTTCTATTTCTTGCTTTCTTTTTTAAATAAATGGTTCAGTTTGAAATACCTTGAAAATTACCTGGATTCAAAGATGTCTTGAAAATGCAGGAGGGCAAAATGGCCAAAATATTGCGATAATAACAAAGATGAGGACATTAGTCTGAATGTAAATAATGATAATTCCTCATCCCAGAAATTCAGGCAAAGTATTTAAATGATTCAGATTTTTTTTTACCTGGGCCCAATCACCAACTTTTGGCACTAGCAGAAAATATTTAACTCTGTCATAAAGTAGGTATTCAATCTAATTAGTATTATTTATGTTTGATAATATGATCTTTAAAGCACAGAAATATAACATCACTAAACTTTAGGATAGTTATTTTTTTTTTATTCAGTATCACCTCAAGCAAAGGCAGTAGAGCCACTAACACACAAGGGATTACAGAATGTGGAGGAATTAGAAACAGAAACATTATTAATAAGTAGAAAGAGAAAAGAGCAATCAAGAAGACAGTAGATAGCGATTGACATTGCATTTAAATTTTTGCTGATTAATGTTGGCTGGAATGTGTAAAGCTGAAAGGGAGTTCCATAAGTGATAAGTACAAGAAAAGAAACTGTTAGCACAGAAGTAATGGCTACATCTAGCCAGATCAACTATAAATTGATGAGATCTTGCCACCAGAATTCAAACACATCATTTGACTTACCACAAAGTTACAATTATAGTTTAGAACTAGTAGTACCCATGAAAGTTTCATGGCTTTCCTGTTTAAATTTTGTTTTCTTTCTTTTTTTTTTCTCATTGAAAGCAAACAGCATCTCTGATATGTCTTTTCTTGCAATCAAAAGAGAACAGTTCATTATTTATGAAGTATTGGCAGGACGTTCCTTTCTTTTGTTTTCTCACTGAAACCAAATAGCATCTCTGATATGTTTTTCCGTCTTTCCAAGTGATCAAAACAGAATAGTCCATTATTTATGAGGTATTGCCAGGGCTTAATGTATATACATGCTAACTAAAGAATTATAAGATATTCACATAAATATTTTTAGAATTTATTCTAAAAATCATGATTATTATATACAAACCAATGTATAATAGCAATCATTAGTAACTGTAATCATGTTTAATGATCTGTTTTAGGCCCCTCTACTTTGTGAAAATAGACATTCAAGAATGTTTCAACTTTATTAATCAAGATCTCTTGAAAAATATCATGAGAGATATTTTAGATATGGTGAGTAATTTGAACACATGAATTTTGAACAATAATCTTTATAGCAATTCATAATTCATTTTTAACATTGCTTTATTGAATAAAGATGATTAAATATTGTCATTTTCTTCATTCATTATTACAATGTCAGACGTGCATACAGATAAATAAAACAATGTCTCAATTGACCATTTTATTCAATTTTTGAATAGTTGTTATTCAAAATCTGTTTCCTTTAGTAATCAATTTATTTGTTCCTTGTGATTATGAATGTGTGACACAACTACTTGTATTTATAGTTTTTAGTCTATAAAAGATATAAATGTTATCTATGAATTACAATCATCTTTTTAACAACTTTGCTATTTGTAGAAAAACTTGATTTGTTAGTTACTGTTTACTTTAAAGTATTTATTTTTATCCAGGTTGGTGAGGATTTCATTATTCGTAAATATGCAAAAATATTTTGTATCGAAGGAAAACTGAAGAGATCATTTTTCTATGAAGCAACAGTTGAATCAGAACACAACCCTAATTTTAAAAATTACATACAGCATGTAAAAGACAAGAAAAAATTGGGCAATTCTGTTATTATTGACAAAGTAAGTATTCATATGTTCAATTGTTTGGGTTAAATATTACAGATATAATACATTTTAATGAATTTTTGAAAAAGCTTTATTTGAATTGCAAATGTATCTTTTTTTTTTAACTTTACTGATTCATCAATATTATTTATTATTATTTGATTACATTATTATTTATAAAAAAAATGTGCATATTCAATTTTGAATGTGTATTCAGTATTCTTATTTTGGAGACTACTGTACAAATGCAGAAGAGAATGCTTTTTGTTTCCAAAATTCCTTTTGCATGACACTATATTGTTTGTTTTCTTTAATTATTGTATTTTTTCAGGTTTTGTATGATCACATGAAGTTTGATGAGATAATAAAGAAGCTGCACTGTCATGTCAGCAATAATGTTGTCAAGGTAAAAATATCTTTGACTATTTGAATAAAAATTGAAAATATCTTATGTGAAAACTGTTTGGAAATTGCTAGGTAATGATGTGATGTACATTTTTTTAATTTTATTTTTAACAGGGCAAAAGCAAAAATAAAACCTTTTTGCTATTGCATTTTGTGTTGGCTTATTCTAAGTTCAGCATAGCAATAAATAAGAGAAAAGAAAACAGTTCATTAAACAATGAAGAGTTGTTGAGTATACAGCTAATTCAATACAAATCTGTAATATTTCAATTTTTTGGATGAAGCATTGTCTAATATTATTAATTTATCTGACTAATATTACTTTGCTTACAGACAGTTGTAGAATGATAGGCAGAGAGTAGCAACTATAATTAAAATGAAAGAAATACTATTAAAATAAAATGAATGAGGATTCTAATATATCTGAAAGAAATGAAATGGCCTGATGCATTTGCTGAATAGTAAAGAGTGAATTTTGAATAATTGAATGAAGCTGATTCTCACTGAGATTATGATATCACTTCCTACCATTTCTTTTCAGCAGAAGATCAAGGTATATAAATGGTTGACAGTTTGAGTGATCATTGGTTGGAGTTTGATTTGGAGTAATACTCAATTTGTGTAGTCATGTCAAAGTCTTTGTAAGTGACATATAGCAAAAGACAAGTGTTATGGTTCAAACCAGCAGCAGTTTTTGTTGCCGTATCAGTTGGATACAAATACATTCACAGAAAGGAAGTGGTGTTCAGTTTATTCTGAGAGCAGTACAGAACATTTCTTACACTGTAACATTTGGTAGCTCAAGAATAAAAGATTCCATATAGTTTTATTCAAAGCAATCATGTCACAAAGTTTTATGAAAAGTTTGTAGTAAGCTAGGCACAAAAAGAGCTGTTAAGGCTTTCATGATTAAAACATGAATGAGTAAAAACACATGTGTGCAAGTGACACAACCCATGCTGAAAAATAAGATAATTTTTTTTTTAATCATTTCAACCCAAACAAAGCCACTAAGACACAGAGGGATACTGAGTGAAAGAATATAAGAAAAAGAAAAACATTAATAAGGATTAAGAACAATAAAAGAAGAGAAATTAAAACAAAAGATAATGATCGACATTACATTTAAATTTTTGAAGCTCAAACTTAACTGGAAAGCAAGAAGCCGGAAAAGAGTTCCTCAATTGAGAAGTGTGAGAAAAACTGTTAGCATAGACTATGGTAACATTAATCCATTTCATCTGTAAAATGATGAGATATTGCTGCCAATCTAATACGATGCTTAAATTCATGGAATCTAGGTATGATGGAGGTAAGTTCATTGAAATTGAAAGTATTTATAGAAAAGACACAAGGATTCTACATTATAGTGGTGGAAAATGACTGAAGTTAATATGCTAGGTCAGGATTGATAAAGGATTTGTGCCAATAAAAATTTCTCTTGCCTAAAGCAAAAAAAATCCTCTTCTGGAGCCTCAGTAAATAAGCAGGAAATTTCATTTCATTTCATTGAGATTGATTTTATTTTTATGGCTTATCAACCTGGGTTATTTAAAGCTGAGACATATATTTGTATTTAAGATTATTTTTTTTTTGTCAGTGAATATTGCATGAACAATTTTTTGAAAATAACAGTGATTTTTTTCCCCAGATACAAGTCCTACTATTTAACCCATAGCTGATGAACATAAGTGAATGTAATAAATCTAACTGGAATTTGAACTCAATTCTTCAATTTCTCATTCTGAGCCACTATCTTTAATCCTTTAAATAGCTTTATCAGATCAAGACCTTCATATGCATGCTATGTATGGTACTAAACTTATTCAGAAATATCTAAACTGTCAGATGCATACATATGCTTTCTCAGATCAATGCTTATAATAAGCTTTGAGGGTCTTGGCAAAGATCATCCTTCTTCAAACCATGTGGACTGGTGCTACAGATTCACAAACAATGAACTGTACCAAATAACAGAAACCACATCACTTGAGGACTTTCAAGAAGAGCAACAACTAAAATGGATATCATGTAACTTGAAGAGAAAATAATGACATAATCAAGATGTTGCAGTTCCACACTACTTCAAATAGAAGATTATTAAGGAAACCCCCATCAATACTGGAAAGAGCAATAACAGTTACTTGAGAAACCTATTTTACTGAAAAATTGTTTTAAAAGATTTTATAAATTTCAACTGACAATAGGACTGGCTGCTCTGTCAATGAATGCCGAATGTTTCTTTGTTAGGAAACAGCTAACACATCACCATCCATTACATTCACTATCTCATTGAAAGATCTTCAATTGATACACAGGTCATATCAGTTTTCTCTCCAAATCTTAACACCAATTCTAATTTCATGCCAACTATTTCTCTACCTTCTTCAGTATTGTTTAAACTTGTCATATTTTATAATTATTACCAATTATCTTTATTGATTTTCTGTGAACACTTTTACAAAAAGGATTTCTCATAAGAACTTAAAAATATTTTGCAAACATTTTTTGTCATTGCTTAAATAAGAACTAAAATTAATTGTTATAAATATTCAATATAAAATATTTTATAAACAATAATAAATCTTGTTTTATTAAAAAATAATCTTGTACCTTTTATTTGCATGTATCTGACTGTTATCAAAACTCTGCTATCCTGACATCAAAGATTTTCCTTCCTCATATAGTTAATCATCTCGCAGTGTATCTCTACTGTCATAATTAACCTTCAACCCTGAACAGGCCTAAACTGACTGAAGCAATCCTCTATACATTAAACACAAGGATTTTATTAGATGTGTATTTTACAAAATCTAGACCTTAATTATTTATTTATTATTTTTGTCACTGTGCAATGCTCAATGAAATGGGACAGCAGCCACCAGGTGCAACAATACATGCACACACACACACACACACACATCATTGAATGAAGAAAAGTAATATGTTTAAAATACATTGGAAATTGCCAGCATATGGTAACATTCATTTTACACAGATAAAAGCTGTCCCTCAAGTGCTTTGTCCTAGAACTAATACAACTAAAATGACACCCTGAGGGTAACATTTCAAACAAGTAGTACCTTGGATGCCTGTTGTCTTTCATTACATTTTCAGCTCTGCTGCAGCAATAAGAATTAGAAATGACCTCCATGGAGGGCAGTGAGCAGCTAATTATTTCCTGTGTAATATTTATAATCCTTTGGACGTTTCTTTTGTCCACTGACAAGCAGCTGGCATACCAAACAGTGATGCAGTATGACAATTCTCAGTTAAAAGCTACTGCTACACTTTCTTGACTAACACAATGGTATTGCTAATCCAGGAGAGATCCTTTGCCATGCATGTGCCCTGAAACTTAATTTTATCAACCCTCTCTGCACAAAAATGTAACTTGAGCTGATATATATAAATAGTTGTCTTTACTTTTTTAACTCTCTGTGGCTTCTCGGTCTCACATTGACTGCTGACCTGAGATGGAATAAATACATTGAGTCAATTGCCTCGTCCACTGCAAGGAAAGTTGGCTCCCTGAGCCGTGCTAGGAAGTTTTTCTCCCTGGAGTCGATCCTCCAGATCTACAAATCCACAATTCGCCCTTGCATGGAGTATTGCTGCCATATATGGTCTGGTGCCCCTTCTGTTTGCCTCGGGGTTCTTGATAGGCTCCAGAGGAGGATATGCAATGTGGTTGGCCCTGCCCTGGCGTCTCGTCTACAGTCACTTTCTCACAGATGCGCTGTCGCCTCCCTCTGTCTGTTCTACAAATACTTTCATGGAAATTGCTCCGAGGAGCTGCATTCGCTGGTTCCCAGACGTCATGAGTTCCAGCGCCCTACGAGGCTGGCATCCCGCTCTCACCCCTTCACTGTTGAAACTCCTAAATGTAGCCGTCTCTTCTACTCTAATAGCTTCATGTCTCGCACTTCTCGCCTGTGGAACTCCCTTCCCTTCCCTGTGAGCTATAATCTCCAGCTATTCAAGTGTAATGTCAATCGACATCTCCAGTTGCCTTGATCTATCCACTACTCTCATCCTTTCTTCTATCACTCCTATCTGATCTTGCTCTAAATTTTCTGTAACCCCTTGCATCCTAGTGGCTACCCGCCTTGCTTGGGGTGAAATGCTTAAAAAAAAAAAAAATTACAAACACTGTTCACAATGTTGCTTATTTTTTTTTTGTTTTAGCTCGATTCGCACTACTACACGCAAACTCAGGGCATTAGCCAAGGTTCTGTATTGTCAACTCTTCTTTGTAATATCTATTACGGTCATATGGAGAACAAAATGCTGAAACTTGACTCAGATGCATTGATGATGAGGATGGTAGATGATTTCCTTTTAGTAACACCTCAAAAGTCAACTGCTTTTAGGTTTTTGAATAAGATGCTGAATGGTGAGTATGCTATATAATAGGGAATTAATATTTCTTAATGTGTTTGCAATAGAATATCACAATTTATTCTGTTATAATAGCAACACCTTTAAAATGAATGTCTATAATGAAAGCCAAATATTAAAAAGATAAATTTTAGTTATAGTAGGAATAAAAAGAGACACTGAAACTAACTGTCAATAGAAACAGGTGGTATAATTCTGTTTATGGTTTAACATTTTACAATTTATCAATGATTGTATTTGATGAGAGTTCATTGAAAATGATTGAAAAGAGTTAAATCAACTCTCATCAAATAGGATTGTTGATAAATTTTAAAATATTAAACCATAAACAGAATTACCATTAAAAATGAGACAATTTAAAATTAGACTTTATCTGTAATCTTACAAAAAAAATGTGAGAGACACTAATTTCAACATGTCTCCACTTCTTCAAGTGGGTTGTGCCCTGTTAAGAAATTGTATAAATTTTTAGAAAAAAATAAATGAGACGTGCATTTTTAGTCAAAGATATCATTTGTTGGAATAATCATAGCAAATTCTATCCAACAAGTTTTGTGAAATTCCAAGTGGTTTGAAAAGATTTTATTCATTCTGAATTGAATCTGAATTTTTATTGCTGATTTTAGATGCAATCAGATCTCATTTGATTTTCATTAAGAAAATTTCAAATTAATGAATTAGATTTTCTTCTTTACATTATGGAAATGAAAATAAGAATTCATCTTCTTAATTTGGTCTCAACTACATAAATAACAAAAAAGAAAGCTAATAGGGATTGACCATTGCAAAGTTGATTAACACTTTCACTGATGCATTGCTATAGCATTGTTGGCTTGCTGTGCTGGCCCAGTTTGGGAAAAAAATTAGGAAAACATTTTATCTATTTCCTGAGCACTTAGATGCTGATGGCAATTTCTCATGGGTGCCACCACAGTGTCAATTGTTATCTTCTGTCTTCTTAATTCTTGTTCTTTTATTGTTCTCTCTTCTTAATAATGTTTTCTTTTTCTCATATCCTCTTACACTCAGTAACCCCTTTCATGTTGGTGCCTTGCTTGGGGTAAAAGGATAAAAAAAATTGCCTTTGATTGAATACTCTACAGTACAGACTAAGCACAACAACAACTCCAACACACAATATAATAAAAATATATCACAAAACAGGTATTGTACGTTACTGTATATCTAAACTGGTTTTGAAATAGCCTAACCCTAGGAACTGACATTTTACAGTGTCATGAAAGTGTGTGTGTGTGTGTGTATATATATATATATATATATATATATATCAACAGCAGGCAATGTCAATTTCATATCTTATCATCCACAATCCAGTTGAGATAAATAAAGTCCACAACCCTGCACTACAGTTAATTGGGAACATGATTATGATCTTTTCCATAACTGTATAGTATATATTTCACTGGGGCTGAATACAGTTTTGAATTCAGGGTTGTCCTTCTCTTAGACTGGTTGCCAACTATAGCTTGAAAACTCTACCTGCCCTGCTATTTAGACCATAAGAGGAGAAGAGATGGATTCATACCTTTACCAAGGATATTTCTGTGAAAGTAAATGTAGCAAACTTCACCAGAATTCAAATTTGTTTCACTGATTTCTTATTTGTAGTCACTGTCCATTACACCACTTGCATTGGATGCACCAGATGACGTGCTAATTTTATAAATATGTATAGGTACATCTTGAAAATATAATTACATCCACAGCATTGGCAATATTAATATTTCTTTTCTTTTTTTATTGGTTTGACAACACTAATGAAAATATTTAATATATAGCAAAAGCATAATCATAAGTAAATAAGCAGTTTTTTAAATTAATGGTTATATATTCAATATTTCCATATTGCTGGATCCTGCTGTATAAAATTCCCTGCCAATGTCTCAAACATTGTTTATTAAATACTTGTGTAAAAACAAACTTTGAGAAAAGGAAGTAATGTACTTTATGAACCCATATTAAAATTGATATGATATAAAATGTATTTTTATTCTGTTTTTATTGTCTCCTCAACAGGTATACCATTGTACAATTGTAGCATTCAGCCTGAGAAGACACTTATCAATTTTGCTTACGATCACAAAACCTATGGAAAGTTGCCCCAGATTTTAGAAACAGGTGAACTTCTTTTATTTTTAGCTTCACTATCCATGACATTTTGTCAATAGGTAGTGAATTATGATTTACTTTCTTTATAGATTTTATGGAATAAAGCAACATATGGTATGTTGAAGAGTCTATTGAAAGAAAAAGCTGAATGAAACACAAGCTTAAAATTATGATTTTATCATATTAATTATAAACTTGTAAATAGGACCCTAATTGCTGAGGTCTTCACTTTTTGTAACAGAGTTGCTTAACTGAGTTGAGTGCCTTTAGTTAAAATATATGTCAAACTTTTTCAAACTCATATGTATGTATGCATGTATGTGCATCTCTCTCATATATATATATATATATATATATATATATATAAGTGAACATAGAAGTCAACACTTAGAGGCGACAGTCTGTTTCATGTTAGACACAATCGTCATGCCTGACAATTGCGTCTAGCATGAAACAGACTGTCCCCTCTAAGTGTTGACGTCTATGTTCCCTTTTATATTTACACATGCTCTATCTCTGATATTGAGCACTTTATCTCATAAATATAGAACATCTTAAGGCTATATTTCTTCATATCTATATATATATATATATATATATATATATATACACATAATGAGTGATTTGTTTTTACAGCTTATCAAGCTCTTGTGGGTTATTTAAACCCAGAAAATATTTTTGGATTGTAAATTTTTTTTGTGATAAAACTAATTAACCCATAGAAGGGGGTGGTAGTTGAGAAGTGGATTCATACATTTCCCAAGGGTATATGTGCCTAAGTGAACATAACAAACCCAGCTAGAATTGGAACTGTTCTCCGATTTCCAATTCCGAGCCACTATCCCTTACACCACCCACACATCCCAAGTGGTTACCCATCTAGGTACTTACCAGGTTCAATGTTTCTTAACTTCTATGATCATACAAGAATCAATGTTTCAAAATGATATGGTCATAAGCATTATATATATATATATATATATATATATATATATATATATATATATATATATATATATATGTATGTCTATATTTCTGAGATGAGGTATTATGTACACTATTTACATTATTTGGACTATTGTCCTCATTTGTTGCCATATTTATCACAACATTTCGGCTGTTGTACGCTCTGGCCTTCTTCAGGTGGTTGGGATGTCAAACTGAAATAAAGAGTTCAGTTTGACATTCCAACCACCTGAAGAAGACCGAAGCATACAACAGCTGAAACATTGTGATAAATATGGCAACAAAGATGAGGACAATAGTCCAGATAATGTAAATAGTATATATATATATATATATATATATATATATATGGGTTTTAACACAGTTTTAAATCAACACCACGAGAACACAAACTCTATAGCGGTCAGAATATACTCAACAACTGAAGATTGCAAAACTGTATGAAACTCTGAGTTGTGTTACTGACGTTGGATATTATGTATATTAACTAATATGTATATATGTGTGTGTGTGTAAAATTTCAGATAGAATATATCTGCAAAAGGACAATATGAACAAAGACAAAAGAGGAAAACTTAGCTAACACATTTCGTCCTCTGAGGGACTTTATCAAGGCAAATGCAAAAAACAAATCCTTGCGGTGATAGAGCATATGTAAATATAAAATATAAAAGTGGTCATTAAAGTCAACACCCAGTACTGACAGTCTGTTTCATGCTTAAACCCAATCTTCAGGCCTGATATTGAGCATTTTAACCTATAAATACTGCATAACATAAAAGTATATTCTTATCATATATATATATATATATATATATATATATATGAATCAAGACAAATTATTTTAAAAAATATTTATCTATTTACAGAAATGCTGCCATGGTGTGGATTGTTGATTGATACTAAATCACTGAATATAAAGCGAGATTACAGCCGTTTTTCAGGTTTGGGTAAGCATTTTAAGGGCCATACACTCTGCTTTGTTTTAAGAACATCTTTAAATCTTTTGAATTAATTTTAAATGCATTTTTGACAAATTTTAAAACTATATGGCTGATAAATAAAATTATCATCCATCTAAGTTTTAAATTTAATTTTTTTCCTACTTTTTGTTACCTGTAGACCATTCATTATTATCTGTTATATGGTAAGTCTGATTAATTCAATAAGGTCAAATTGGCAGTTGATCTCAAAAATGACCTACAGTCTGCTATTAACTAAAGTAAGGAATGGCTTGCTAATTTTAACACCTCCAAAATGAAACTACTCTTAATAATCTGAGAGACTCCTTCCTGCCTTCCATCAGTATGGCAGATGCTAATCTCCAGGACAGTGACTCATTGCACCTTCTTGGGCTGATATTCTCTGCTCACATGAAGTGGAAAGATTATATTGCATTAATTGCTAGGTCTGCTTCTGGGAAGTTCACTGTCATGCTAGACAATTTTTCTCTCCAGATTTTAGCTTACATATTTACAAGTTTGCCATTCATCTATGCTTTGAATATTGCTGACACATGGTGCTCCTGCTGTATATTTAGAGATTCTTGATAAAATACAAAAAATAATCTGCAATGTTATTGGTCCTGACCTATCAGCTTTAGTCACTTTCCCATTACCATAATGTAGATTCACTATGTCTTTTCTATAAATACTTTCATTGTAATTGTTCTGATAATCTTTCCTCTTTAATATCTTGACTTTACAAATTTATGCACAGTACTAGCCTGGCAAGAAGATCTCATCATTTTACAGTTGAATTGTTTAGATGTAACCATAAGTTCTATCCTCACAGTTTCTTTTCCTAGCACTTCTCACTTATAGAACTTTTTTCTGGCCTTTTACTTTCCAGCCAACTTGATCTTAAAAAATTTAAATGCCATAGCAATAGTTATCTACTTTTTTTTTGATTCCTCTTCTTTTATTGTTCTCACTGCTTAATAATGTTTTCCTTTCTTTTATTCTTTCACACTCGGTAACTCCCTTGTGTCTTAGTGGTGTTATTTCCCTGCTTGACGTGAAATGATTAAAAACAAGTTATTTTAAAAAAAATGAAATTTGTAAAGTTGAGATGCCAAAGGGGTGAGATCATCAGAACAATTACCATGAAAATATTTATTGAAAAGTTACAGGGAAGCTACATTGGAAAAGTGACTGAATTGGAATTCTGAGAGGGTATGACATTTCTTTTAATATCACTCACTGATATCTTAATTCCTATGGTCGCATACAATGAGTAGTTTTGTTTATAAACATTCTTCAGTTAGCTTTATCTCTATCATCAGATAGTTTGTTTAGAAATTCATTTATTACTAAGGTTGTAACTTAGAACATTTTTTAAGTTTAAAAATTTATGTTTGCTAGTATATATATATATATATATATATATATATATATATATATATATATATATATATAGTTAAGTTTCCCAGAAATAATTCTGAAAATAAAGACAAATTGGTTTAAAAATGACAATTGGAAGAAATTTTCATCTTCTGACTTTATGAAGCAATGAAAGCAAAATGTTTTTGTAGCCATAGTTACATCAAATCTAGAATTTAAATAAGAGATGCTGTTTCTGGATATTGGTATTGATAACTTCCTTTTTACTAAGAGTTGCTTTTTTTTTCCATGTCAACAATATAGTTAAATTTCCCAGAAATAATTCTGAAAATAAAGACAAATTGGTTTAAAAATGACAATCACAAAAAAATTCTTAGTTTTTGCTGATGTATTTCGTCTTCCAATCTTATCAAGGTAAGCAAAGAAAATGAAAACATTCGCAAGAAGTAAGAATTTTTGCCAATCATCATTATTAAGTAAAATTCCAAGTGGGCAGTGACTAACCATGACTTCCAGTTTCATGCACTTTCACACAATCATCAGGCAGTCATTAGCTGTAATTAGTAAAATAGGAACCTTTATGCCACCAGGCTTGTCCAAGATAGTGAGCCAACCAAACTCACCATGGAGAAGGTAACCTATCAAAATAGCCAAAACCCCCCCAAAAATATAAAAAGTTCCACCAGAAAAGGCTTGTCAGTGTGGCAAAAAAAGTGCTCAATGCCATAGGGAGCAATAGTACTACAGTAGAGATGCTTAGAGCTTCAAGCAAAAAAGTGCTCTACAATACCGGGCCATTAAGAAGTCACTCGCATCAGAGCATTTACAATTAAAGATAAGGATAAGCAGTTCTCAAAAGAGTCTACCTTAAATTGCACACTTTTTTTTTCTCCAGTGTGCAATGTTAGGCAGACTCTTTTGGGAGATGCTTATCCTTATTTCATATATATATGTGTGTGTATATATATATATATATATATATATATATATATATATATATACATATATGATAAAACATCTGACAAATAAAATTTTAATTTCTGAAAGGAAAATACACATTTATTAATAACTCATACTTTATTTATTTCCCTCTACCAGCCTGAATATTCAATAAATCTTATTAAAAAAAATATGAGCTCACTGACAGGATTCAAACCTGCATTCCTCTAAGCAGAGGGTGCCATCATTAGATTCAACATGCTTTAACTGACCAAGCTACAAAGTATTCAGGCTGGTAGATGAAAATGAATAAATATACTGTTTAATAAATAAATGAAGCATCTACTCAAATATGAGTATCCACTAAAAATAAAAAAGTGATAAAATTTGTTGAATTAATAAATAAAAAATCCATTGCTTTTCTAGAAATTATATATATGAAAGTATATAGTCTTTGATCTTTTTTTCCACTTTATGGTGGTGAACACATTTTTATACCTTTCTGAAACTAACTTTCATCTTTAAAAATGGCGTAAGTTTCTCTTGTGAGGTTTGAATATGAATGAAACTTGCTGTTAGAAATTGTGCTTTCTGCTAGTGATTACAGTTTTGATTTGTTTCTTTTTCTTTATTTTTTGTTCAGGTATTTCAGACATACTAACTGTGAACCTGACCCCACAAATGGCAGCAAACCTTTGCCATAAAATTCTCAAGTATGTCTTTTATTTGTTCCTATTTATAGAGTTTATAGCAAAAAACCTTTTCTATTTTGTAACATAAGTGTAACTTGATCATCATTAGTAAAAAGAAGCTCATTAAACTTAGTTTAGTTTTTGAGAAATTTGATATACCATATATACTCGTGTATAAGCCAACTTCATGGATAGTGTTATATAGGAATAAAGTGTCACTGCCAACACTTGTATTTGAACATAGATTGCCAGTGAGCAAATGCAGGCGACCACATTATTGAATTAAGTAGACCATGTGACCATAGAGGAAACACATATATGGAAGGTAGCATGGCATGTAATTGATCTACATTTCTAGTCTATCCTCTATTACTATTCAGATCACTATTTCTATTCTATCCTCTATTACTATACGGACCACTATTCTCTACTCTATTCACTATACTATTTCTCTATTCAGATCACTATATGGGTTACTTGTTGAGCAAGTGCTATTAGTGAGAGTGCTATTCGAAGACATCTGACACCAGCATTGTTCAACGGTGTACTATAGTTGTATCTGCGATTACACAGTCTCTACTACAATGAGAAAGTGACAACGAGTATTCGTTGGCATTACAAAAGTAGCAACGAGTGTTTGTTGACATCACAAAAGATAGTGTGACTCCAATATTTGTTGCATGAATTTAAACCCAGCCAAAAAAATTTACCTATTGTGCAACTGTTCACTAAAAATGAATGATTTTTAACCTCTTCAAAAAAAATTACCTGTGTATAGTCAACCCTTATTTTTTGTATAAAATAACTGATCATAAAAACTTGCACATATACTGTATTAAACTGTCAAATATACCATGTCTAGTAAGTTACTTTGTGTCATGAAATGCTGCAGCCATTGTATAAAAAACCGCCTTTGAATGGACATGACATTTAAAAAAGTACAAAAGAATTTTTTAAAAATGATTAAAACTGGGAAATATGTTTCCACTGCACTATTTACATACACCTATAAACATTTTCCCACTTAATAATTTCATTTATGTTCATCTATTTTCCTCTATATGCTTCTTTTACAGGGTATGCCAAAAAACTTCCCACTTAATGGTAAAACATCATTTTGTGGGAGGTATTTCTGCCACACCCTGTATGTTCCATGTCCCTTCAGGACACGGATGACCATGGCTCACCACAATTCCCTATCCTTTGTAGACCATAGTAATGTTTGTCTTTTTGCTATATCTCCTAATCTCTGTTCTGCCAGCCATTTACACAAGCTTGTTAGGTATGTTATGTGCTGCTTTCCTCTGTCCCACTTGCCTTCAATATGTCTTCTGAGTGTCAATTTTCCAAACCCTCTTTCCTCATAATGTACCCTAGAAATTCCAACTATTTCTTTTTTGTTTCCATTTTCTCTAAAACTGTTGTTAGTCGTGTTCAGTCTATGATATCGTTAGCATTCATTGTAAAACCACATTTCTGTTGCTTTTAGTTTCTTCTCTATCTGTGATGAGATGGTCCAGCATTCATTGTTGTATATAGGAGTATCAATATTACATAACAGTTCAGTGAACTCTTTGTTTCTAATGAAACATGACATTTAAAAAACTTAACTTTTGGAAGGCATTTTTTGCTATCCCAAATGCACCTTCAGATTACTTAGGATAATAAAACACATTTAAGATATCTATTTTACATGCTTATAGACATTTATTTTATGTACATTGTTTACTGTCTTATTTGAACAAAATTGATGTTTTATTTGGGAAATATATCTTGATCTGCATTTTCTTTCTTTTTAGATGTATAAATCCAAAATGTTTGGCTATATTTGTGGACAAAAAGGTAAGAAACTTTTTTTTTTTTGCTTTTACACAGAAAAACAATTTCTATTAAGAAAAAAAGTTTATCACAATCTGAAGAATATTTTTATTAAATAATTTTCATATAAAATGTACAATTTTATCAAAGGAAAAAAAAATAGTTAAAAACGTTTTGAACTGTCAAATTAATCTCCAAAATAATCACTATTTAGTAATTACATAAGTTATCCCCCTTTGACTATTCATCTTGAAGTAATATCAATTTTTTTTTTTTTTTTAATTAACCTTTCTTGCCCACGTGGAAACACCGTTGAAAGTTAAACAACATCGAGTAGCTTGATGGGTAACCACTTGGGAATACCAAGTGGATAATGGCTTGGAATTGGAAATAGGAAAGACGAGTTCCGAATCCAGTTGGGTTTGTTATATTCACCTGCGTGCAAATACCGTTGAAAAAGGTATGAATCCACCACTTCCCCACTCCAGCTATGAATTAATTTAGCAAGACTTGTATCAGTAAACTATTTTTAAATAAAATATTTTTACAATCTAAAGATATTTTCTGGCTTTAAATAAATCACAAAAAGTTGATAAGCCATAAAAAACAAAACAGTCAATAAATAACCCATTAATGTCCACCTTCCCATATTTGGAACAGTGGGCATTAAGTAGAATCCTATAATTAATACCAGATTTTTATACACCTTTAATTAAGCATTTTTATAAACCTATAATTGATACAGGATTTTATTGTTGACATTAATTTCAGTAATTAGAAATAAGTACTTGAATTTGAAGATAAGCTGTTTGCAATTTGATTTTATTAAAGATAATTTCTGTTTTGTCTCAATTCAGTATTCATTTTGACAAACTATAGCAATTCTGATTGAGTTTCAAATTTTGGAAACATTGCTGCTTCAAGCAGTGACAACAAACAATATAAGAGTTTAGCAATTCTCACATTGTTTTTAATATTTGTAACTGCAGAGTTACAGTGGCTTATCTTTAAGTAACAGAAACCACATCACTTGAGGACTATCAACAGCAGCAATAACTAAAATGGTTAGTACATGTAACCCGAAGAGAAAATCATGACATAATCAAGATGTTAACATTCCACACCACTTCAAATAGAAAGTTCTGAAGGAAACCTCCATCAATACTGGAAAGAGCAATAACAGCTACTGGACTTGAGAAACCTGTTTTCCAGAAAAATTATTTTAAGAGAAAGAGTTTATAAATTTCAGCCAAAAGCAATACCAGTTGCTCAGTCAATGAATGGTAAATGTTTCCTTGTAGGTATTATGGTAAACATTTTGTTGCGAGAGGAAATGAATAACAAGGATTAGGTTTTTGAACAACATGTATTTGTTTAATATTACAGTTGTTGAAAAAATTGAAGAAAATGTTGATTTTGGTTGCTGATTGTCAGGAAGGCGATTATGTGTAAGGGTAGCACTGGAAGTTGGCTGATTTCTTAGGTTGGTTTGACCATGGTTACAGGACATAGTCATTGGTTGGGTCTGATGCATGTGTTGGTCAATGAAGGTCATGGTGGTTGGTCAATTTGTCATAGGGTATGTTGGTTGCCAAAGTAATGAGGGATTGGTATAGCTGGTAGGCCTGTGGTGGAATGTCTCACTGTGAGGATATGCCTGTAGTGAGTTAGGTGGTTACAGTGACGGCAGTGGTGATGAGGAAGGCTTGTAGCTGGGTTGAGATGTTATAAATTGCAGCATTGGATTCTGTGTCTGATATTATAAATTACATTAGTGTGTGTCAGGAACCTCGTGGTGTTGAAGCTAGATAGCTGCATTCTGCATGTGATGTTATAATTCGTGATGGTGGGTGTTGGGAGCCTGGCAGTATCAAGGCTGATTTCTGTGTATGATGTTGTAAATCATATTGGTGGGTGTCAGGAGTCTGGCGATGTTGAAGCTGGTCTCTCTTGGTTTCCATGTGTGAAGAGTGGTGAGATTAGCCAAGCCTGGGAGTGGTAACAATTGTGCTGAGAGGAGCGATCAGTGACAGTGGCAGTGCTCTGTTATGGCCTGCAACTGCTGATTGCTGTTGCAAGAGACCTGCTTTTAAGCAGATCTGGCAGTACCCAGGAACATCACCCTTTCTGGCAGGAACATTTGTGATAGCCACTGTATTGCTTTCATTGTGGGGGGACATACTTTGTGGACTGGTTGTGATGCTCGGAGCCTATGTGCTGAAAATGGCTTATTTATTTTTGTTTTCTGACTTCATGGCATTCACATCTGGCCAACATGCAGAATGAATCAGAAAGAGAAATTGCAGCAGAGTATAACATAGGGAAATGGCTAATATTACTATTGCCATCTTGATTGAGATTCTAGCATACTCGAGCCATTGTGGATGCAAAAAACAGTGTGTCAAAAAGACTGTTTTTCCATTGACACTATTATTTTAACTACCTTCACTTGTTGGCAATGTTTATTGTTTTTTAAAAAGTGATGATTAAAATTGTAATAAAACCTAAACATATGAAAGTGAATTTATACATTTTCTTTGGTATTGAGAATTGACAGCAAAAATAATAAACACTATTAGATTGTTTATTGGAACGGTTGGCAAAACATTGGCTAATTTCCACTTGATTAGAACTTTATAAAGTGATAAATAATAAGGATTTTAAGATATTTTAATAATTTAGTAAATGTTTATAAATAAAAAAATCTTTTCATATTTATTTCTTCATAAATTGGTAAATGATAAATATTGTATTACATTACTTTTAATACAAATGTATTAGTTTTTAGAATGTTGTAAATATAAAATTATTCTTGTAGATAATCTAATACATAGTGATTGATATTTTTGTTGTAAATTCTCAAGAACAAAAAATGTATAAATTCACTTTCATTATATATTTAGGTTTTATTACAATTCTAATCATTCATTTTTAAAACAATAAACATTGCTGAGGAGTGAAGGTAGTTAAAATAATCATGGTATCAAGGAAAAAAACATCCTTTTGACTCTTCATTTTTTTTGTGTTTTTTTTTTTTTCAGACATGAAAATCCAAGTTTGCTGAGATTATTTATCAATCTTCCCACATGAAAAATGACTTTCAAAGAAATTAAAAAAACAATTTTATTAAATGACAAATTAATTTTTACTTTTATTTTTTCTTTCAGATCAACGGTATCACCACAATTGCATGTAATGTGTTTAATCTTTTCTACTTGGCTGCCTACCGATTTCATGTCTTCATCCTAAGATTAATCACTAAGCAACAAACACTGGATAGTGCACAATTTTTTTTCAGTAAGTTTAATTTACTTTCATATATTAATATAAACAAAAACTTAGATTATTAGGTACTCATTTAATAATGTTGTATATTTCTCAAAATGTTATAAACTGTAAAAATGATTTAAATAATAAAGTTTGATTTGGAGTTGACTTTGAAAGACATGAAAATGAAAGTGGCTAATTCACCATGAATCAACGAAAGTTAAAAGTGGGAAGAAAGCCAATCTGGTCATTCGACATTGTGCACGGAAGAATATGTCGAAAGGGTGGATGCCTTCATCTGGGAAGACTGATAAATCACATTAGTACAAGTAGTGGCAATCATGGGCATCAGCTATAAATCTGCACAAGCCATAGTGCATAACTTTGGGTACCATAAAGTTTACATGTGTTGGATGCTGAAACAATTAAGCAGTGCAAACATGGTTTTATGAACAATTGAAAAGTTTTTGGAAGTTGATCAAACAAAAAGAAAGAAGGAATAGGCGAGAGAGAGAGTACTATTTGGATGATAACTGTTGAAATTGCAGGAAGATGGATTAAAAAGTTGAGAAGAAAATTAAAAATGAAGTGCATTGAAAAAAATCATGTTTTGAGATAATTCCAAGGAGAATCTAACCCAGATTTAACTAGGCGAAATCCAGTAAGATTGAACAAACCCAAGACCATTAAGGTATCCACGAATATGTTAGATAAAATAAAAAAATATGTTGTTGATAGAGAAATCTGTGTGGTCAGTGAAATAACATTCACGATTCCCCTTGATCAGATAAAATAAAAACATGTTTCAAATCAACCCTCCAGAAGAAGTGTTGAAAAGTGACATATGCATTTGTTCTTCATCCATGCAAATAAAGGTATTGTATGGAAATTGCCTTTACCTTTTGATTTACCTTAGTATATTATTAACTTTTGGACACATTTCTTTTGTTTCTTCCAGGAATCATCCACTATATTGCTGACCAGTTCTTTAAGCTTGTCAAGACAAAGATGAAGCAGGTTTGTTTAAATTGATACTTCAATTCAAACTCATCAAGAGGCTCACAATCAGATTGGTTTCATTATTAATTGAGAATAAGTTTTAGAATTTGTTGATCAGAGCCACTATTTTCAAGCCATTTCATTTGATCTTAATCTTGATTAATAAGTAATATTTTATTGCTTCAAATAAATATTGGATTTTTCCAACTTAAATATATATAAAATGTTGTGCAGGACCTTTGTCTCCAACATTATATCTTAAGAAAAAGAAGATATTGTTTACTTGATTATTTGATTACTCTATGAATTAACTTCTGTTCTTTCTATGATAATATATGCATTTCTTTTTCAGATAAACTCCGTCCAAAGTTATCCTCTTTCAAAGTGTGAAAACAAATGGTAGGCAAACATTGAAGATTGATTTACAAACTGTTCATTATGAATGATCTAAAGTTGTAGTTAATTGATTCATTTTCTATGGCTTACCAAGCCATTACAGGTTATTTAAAGCCAGAAAATATTTTTAGATTGTAAGTATTTTTTTTTTTTTTTAAGATAATGATTTAGTGATACAAGTTTTAATGAATGATGCATAGCGGTGAGGGGGAGGTAGATTCATACCTAATTAGAATTTGATAAACAAACAAGAAATTATACTGTGACTATAAAGGTAGGGGTCATTTCTATATTACAATCACTGTATAAATTAAGCTCTCATTTTATGGCCATGGTAGTTTCTATACATTGATATTCTAGAGAATGTAAATAAAAGACATGCCTGTGTAGCTAATCAGTATTTCATTCATTGACTGTTTCATTTTCTACAGCTTATCAACCCTTTGCTGGTTATTTAAAGCCAGAAAATATTTTTAGATTGTAAAAAATAATTTTCTTTTTTTATACATAATGATTTATTGATACATTTTTACTAATTAACCCATAGCTGGTGGAAAATGGCTACATATCCTCTCCCAAGTGCATTACTGCAATGTGAAATAAATAGACTCAATCAGAATTTGAACTCTGCATGCAGATTCCATTTCCCACGTTAATAAGCATAACGCTACCCACACATTCAAGGTCCAGTCTGATGGATAGATATTATTAACAACTTTGCTTAGCTAGCATATTTACTAAAAGAATATCTGTTGATATCTTTACAATTCTTAGTGATTTTGTTCTTATATAATTATCTTATTTGTTCCACTGAAACTGAAATGTTTTCTTTCAGGTTGTGTTTTATGGCATTCTTTATCAAAGTTTCACAGTATCAGAGTCAGTATATAACATTACATTCAATGTTGAAGAAGGCCTGCTCTCAAGGCAAAGCTATGTTGGTATGTAAATCATTTTAATCTTTAGTAAGTTTAATTTGTATTCAATCTTCACAAGTATTTTTGTTGTTTCCCCCAAAATAATTAGTATTGATTTGACTTTTTGCTTTCTATAATATTTTAATGATTAATTAATACTGAATCATGTATACAATTCTATTAGATCATAGTGGTGGTTATTGTTAAGAAAAGCAGATGAATGTTTAATCTTGTAATTCAATGCAATTTGACTACTGCCCATATGTGAAGTTTAGAGTAGTTCAAAGGGGGAACAACTAGGGTTGTCTTCATCACATTTAGACTATAATAAATTATTCTTAAGTGTATAAGAATAAATAACCAGTTTATAGGATTTTGGTAGCATCAACACTAACCAAAGAATAACCACTTTTTATTGGCTGATGAAATAGTTCTTTGTTGATTACAAATGATCCATTTCAATTCATCAATGAATAGAACTATATATTAATTCAGTGGTTGAAATTAAAGATGGAAAACATTATGCTACTATTTTGTATTGAATTCTTCATGGCAAGCTATAATTCTGCAGTTATACACTATAAGTAACAAAATTACCACAACAGACAAAAAAATTTAATTTATATATATATATATATATATTATATATATATATATATATATGATAAAAAAAAAAAAAAAAGCAACATACATTTTGTGTCAATTAATTTTACTGATCAGTTTTTCCAAATTACAAATAATCCTCCTCAGACAAGGAGAAAATTCTGCTACTCACAAGCAATACCATAATAGTAAAAACAGATATATGATCCTTGAAGCAAAACTCCTACAACAAAAACAACCATCTATAAATAAAAACATTTATAATTTAAGAGCCTGTAGCTTCAAATGTACATATAAAAAAGAATATGCATCTCACAATACTCACTGGTTCTACAAAACCATTTGTCTCTACCTATCCTGATTATGACTTAAGAAAGTTGAAAGCTTGAACCATATTTCTTGTGCTTTTCATCCAAAATGAACTTCAAACAATTTCTAACAGAATTTTCTTCTTGTCTGAGAAGGATTATTTGTAATTCAGTCAGTAAAGTTATTTGACACAAAATATCTATTGTCTTTAATAATATTTATCTTAAAGAATATTTGGTACCTTGTAGTGAAAGAGATAATCTTTTACCCTGAAAAAAAGTTCATGTTCTGTGTGCGATCTGCTGAAGAAAAATTACAAAAAGTAGTTAGCAAAAATCTACTTCAATGACTAGAATCTATGCTAACATTCTCCCCTCCCCTGAATAGCATGACCAATCAGAAAAATCTCTCAATGAATCAAAGTCGTTTTTCGCTTATAAAGGCAGAAGATTTTCTGAGCTGCCATGGAACACGCATTTTTGCTCGTGAGAAGGTTGGACGTATGACCTCATTTTGTCGTTTCTACTTTGTTTGTTGGACTGTTACAATGGACTATCGTTTGAACTGCGATTTGGCTACAAGTGTTGCGGTCAAGAAACAGAAGAAATCTATTGCAGTTGCTACTATCAGTTGACAGTTTTCTTTACTACAATACACAGAATAATGATAAAATTATAGTTTTAAAGTATACTTTAATGCTGTATTTATGGAATAGAGCTTATGTCAGTATAAAGCGGTGACAGTCTTTTTCATATTTGAACACAGTCTTCAGATCATATGGCTTGTGTCCACGCACACACACAAATATATATATATATATATAGCAATAGTTAAACAGTTGTTGGTCAGAGTTAAATGGTTGCATTAAAAAGTACTGAATACACAGATCTTTTAAATATTAAAAAATATAGTGAGATCAATCACTCATGCTACCATGGTTTCAACCATTGAGATTTCTTCAGATGGTAGAGACCAATTGATTTCTTAACGCTTTTTATGTACACAGAACTAGAAGGGGAGGGGCAAGACAAGAGCAGGGAAATTGGATGAGAGGAGGAAGAGAAAAAAAATCATGTACTTTCATCCAGGTTAGTACAAACCCAAAGTATATTTCTTAGCATGTTTACATCCTGGCATGACTTCAGGCTTTTCATTTAATAGATTTCTTTGATCTGGATACGTTATTATTGCTAGTTTTTCTTCCTGGCACAGCCTGCAGACATCACTGTAACGCCTGGCTTATCTGAGTATGCTCCAACTTATATTATGGCTTTTATTATTCTTTTCCTTTAATTCCCACACATGGCTGGATAGCCTGGTGCAATTCCTATGGTTTTCTATTTTGAATGATGATTTGTGGTTGTGCCATCTCCTTTCTGAAGTTGCCTTTAATGCACCCTACATGTACCTTACTCTGGCAGCTATTTACATCCTTTATTTCTGCTTTGTAAATCACTCCTCCTGTTTTACAAACTCCAGCTAGCAACTTTTATCCCTGCAGTTACACTTTTCACTGTTAACAATATCTTGCTGTACATTAACCTGGCATTTTGTCTTTTTATTGTAGATTCCAAATTGCTGGTACAGCTGTAACTTTTATTTCTGTTAAAAACCTCGTGCAATTCAGAAATCTTAGGGAAGATATTTTTCAAGTTGTTTGATTAAACACTTCCCTATGTTAGATTTCATTCCTTATTTGTTGGTTCATATATTTACAAATGTTATTTTTAGTAGACACTCCATTTTTTTTTTTTTTGTTTTAAACAATGTTTTGGTAATAGTCTGTGCACACACACACACATATATATATGTGTGTGTGTAACAGAGGAGTAAATAAAACCAGATAAATTTTAGTAAGATACAGTTTGCTTCTTATATTTACAATATTCTGGTAATCTGCAGCAGTTTACTCCATTACAAGTCAATTTAATTTTGCCTGGGAGATATTTTGGGGGAGTTGAAGAAAGGTTGTGTGTGTGTGTATATATATATATATATATATATATAGAAGTGGTGGGAGGGATCTTATTTACCATCAAGTATGGTATTATTTATTACTTTAGTTATTGGGTCTTTCAAAATTATTATGTATTTTTGGCTTTAAAGCCAACCAGCTGTTTTGTACAAAGTAATTTTTGTCTAATTCAACATTTTACGCATATAGCATCAATGATCAGTATCAGTGACTTAATAGAAATGCATTTGAACTGAGCCAACATTGGCATTTGATTTGTGGCATCTATCAGTCTCCATTTATCTTTTACAGTGAACAGCCTAAAAAAAGACCCCTTGTCTATTCTTTTTTTTCTTTCAGTCAACCAAAAGAAAGTCATTGCTGCTTAAAACTGTTATGGATGGACAATTAGAAAGTGTCTTGAGTTCAATGAAATGATGAACAATCAATAGGAGAAAATTTACCAACTATATCTTGAAAATAATGTAATTCTTTCATAAAAATTTTAATTCTGTTTCAAAAATAAATGAAATAAAAGTTATATATTTTCAAAATATCTACATGTGTTGACAGCAGTTGTCTCTTTTTTTTTTTTTCCATACTATTGTTTACCCAAAACCACTCAATGTAGAGGGTTGCTAAATGAGGTTGTAAGGGTGGATAGGGATGAAGCAAGAGATGCATATGAGGATATATAGGATAAAAAAACAATTGACCCAAACTTTGAAGTTTGTAGTGATTGGGGAAGCATCCCCTTGGGAGTCTGTAATGCAATATAACAATTTTGAATAAGAAGGTGTCAGTGAAATTTCTTCTTTACCAATGGGATATGAAGCAAATAAGGATGAATGAATGGAACCAAAGAATGCAGTTCACCCAAATTATTTTGCATTTGTTCAAAATACACTAGAACTATAAATGCAAATAAAGTATTTTTCAGGAAGCAGCAATTGTAATATTTGTATTTGCAGGAAATAGCAATTATTTACTTTAAAATTCATTTTCCATGGACTGGTAGGAATGAATGTCATTAGTTAGCAAGAGTGTCAGATTCTTACATTTATATTTTGCTACTATTCAAGTAATTATAAAAACCGATTTGGTTTATTCACATAGAAAAACTCAATTGGCTTAAGTCATCATTAATTTTTTTTTTTTTTTTTTTTCTGAGGGCTCATCTGCAATAGCTTTAATATATCTACTATAGGATTAATTTGTTATTTATAGACAAAATCCAAGCTACATAAGGTTTAAAATGGTTACTGATGGTCGTTTTGATTTGTTCCAAATTTTAGGAGGGAAATTACCATCATCTAATTTTTACTTTCATTAGTAAAATCCAAGATTTTATATTTACAAGAAATAAAATTAAAAAAAAAGCTTCACCTACTTACAAAGATTTAGAACTCAAGACAGCAAACTTTCATCCACCTTTCTTCCCACTGATTTTCATGTGGAAATGAACAATGCACTCTTCATGACTATACTGTGTGTAATTATGTAACTTTTTTTTTCTTAAAAAGCCTACATTAAATTGATCTTAAATAGAAGTGTCTGAAATTACCATTAACAGACTTGTTAATATCACTTATTTCAGTGAAATTCAAAGAATAAAAACTGTTTCCTTTAACATCTTTATAAATTGATCATTCCAATTTTAGATTTTAAACAAGGTTCATCCCCTCCCACTGAATGTCTAATCTAGAACTCAGACAACCAAGGCTTTTCACTGAAGCACATTGCTTCACTTATTGGACATACAATGTGCCCACAAGGTCTTTAGACAATTTCAAAGTCACAACAAAATCTTAGAAGAGGTGTCAACCAAGCTTTTAATTGTATATTAAAATTCTTTTAATGATATTAATAGTCTTATTAATTTTTTTTTTTTTTTTTTTTTAAACAGAATATGTAAACTTCACTATTTACTTCATATTATGCAAACATTTCTTTAACATCCAGTTTCCGTCAGGTATTGTACTATATATGAAATCAGCTTATACAAATATATATGGTAATCATTTTTCTAAGGATAGATATTGACATCTGAAACATGATATAATGCAAATAAATTTAATACTATAAGTGTCTTAGTTAATTAAGAAGTCATACCTTTACCAGATTATGTGAACAGGATCCTAGAAGCTTAGGTCTGTGCCACTTTCTTTTTTTTAAATATTTTAAACTTATCAGCATCATGCTTTCCAGCTAACTTTGAAAATGAAGCTTCACTAACCAATTAGAATACTGGTTTTGAAAAGTGGGTCAGGCCAATTTTATATTTAGGATAGTGGATAACCGAAGGACAAAGAAGTGGAAACTTACTGATGCATTTCAGTCTCAAAGGAACTTCTTCAGATTAATGATGGTTTAATTGATGAATCGTTGAGTGGGGTAGGGGAAAGAAATACCAGTTACAATTGACATTACAAAATTTGGTATTTTATATTGATCAATTTACATCCAGGATCAAACAAAATCTTTGTCACCAATTACTAAATCACACAATGTGGGATTTTAAAAAAAAGGAAAAAATAAAAAAGGACCAAATTAAATTAGGTCATAATTTAAACAACAAATATTTGTCTTTAATGTTATAGTCTAACTAGCATTTGTTGTATTTCTCTTCCCTCATCCAACTTTTTATTACATATAAAAACCAATTCCATGGAATGAACACGTACACATCATTTATACAAGTGGAGGTATGAATAGTTTCCCAACCCTATTTCCATAAGGTAATTTGGAGATATTTTTTTAATTGTCTTAAATGTCAGTGTGGAGTGGTTAGTTAACTAGGAAAAACAAAATCTGAATCACTCCTAGATTTAAGTAAAGGCTTGAATTTACTTCCTTGCATTGTCCAGTTTCGAAATATTAAAAAATACTTTTTGGATTTAAAAGTTTATTACAAAAACTCAGAAATCTGAATTAGTTTTATTTTTTCATAAATTCCTTACAAAGAATCTGTGACATTATCAACTTTTTAGAAAACAGCTTTCGCAGAAAACACATTTTATGTAAAGTAAGGCTCTGTTAGTGAAGTTGTTTTACTTATAATAGTGTTAATTTCAATACTACTCTAATAAAAATAATTTTATAGATTTATTTTTTTTTTTTAATTTTAAGTTTTCATACATTAGTAATTCTTGATCCTTTGGACACCATAAAGGGTTTAAATTTGAAACTGCAGTCAAAATTATTGAACTAAGCTTTTGGAAATTTTTTTCATAATTACTTCTGACGAACAACATTAACTTTTGAGATCATAACGTGTGGATATTCAGCCTTGGGTTTTGATATTTCATCAAGTTTCTGCATCTATAAAAGAAATAAAAAGCAAAGTATGAAAAGGAAAATGTGTTTTGAAAATTAAGTTCAGTTCACAGCAGTTGTTAAGAACATTAACATCAGACAAACAATATGGCTTTCATTTATCAAAGTTATCTGCTGATGTGCTTAATAATTATTGCAGTTGAAAATTAAGAGAAAAATTATCAAACAACACTAACCAAAATCTGTTGAGCAAATCTTGCACTTGCCTTATCAGTACATGACACAGGATATTTCCCAAACTATGCTTACGAAATTGTCATATTCCCTCTAAATCCCCAAATACTGAACTTAAGTTGCTGAACATTACCAAGGTTTCTAATGTCTGATTGATATGGAGAGCAATCTGGAAGGCTGTTTTGCCTACCTATCATATTAGTTCAGTAATTTAGTTCAGTAATTTAGTTGTTAATGCAACGCTGACATATATATATATATATATATATATATATATATATATATATATATATATATATATATATATATATGACTTAATTTTGCTAATTGCCCTGGAAGTGGAGTAGAGAAAGAGTTCCTTATTAAAAAGGTTCATTCTGAAGAAGTAAAAGGCATCTGAAACTTTTTCTTAAAAAACAATAAAATAAATAAATTAAAAAAATTATAATATATATATATATCTCAAACTTATACAAAAAGATGTTGAGTTTTTAACCTGTCCAAATAGTCTTAAATATCTTGGTTTGGACCATACTTTCTGTAAATTTGACCCATTTTATCATTTACAAGTGATAAAAGTTTAGAAGCACAGATTAACTAACATGTATCACTGGTGTGTATTAGTTGTTCCCATCTGGTAAGGTACCAGTCAATATTTGCAAGGGAAAAGTGGCTGCAAAAAATGTAACAGGTTTATCGATAGCTGAACATTTAATTAAAAGGCAGCAGTGTGACCAGTCTCATAACCCCAGATATCTTCTCAGTGCTAAGCAGGTTTAATTCAATGTATCACTTGGAAGTTTTCAAATCAGTGTACATTAAGTCCTACCAGGCATTTATCTGTAATCAGAATAAGTGAGTAGTGGGCATAAAAATGTTATATTTTTTGCATGTAACATTTCTCTTGCATATTTTTTTTTTTAGTTGCTGTGCACATTTTTGTTATTTATCTTTGCCCCGAGAAGAGAACCAAGTGGACTTTTTAAATGTTATTTTTTTGGTATTACCATTTACATAAAACAATGTTTACTTGGATCAGGATATCAATTACTGATCTGAATTTAGAATATGCAGCTATCTGGAAAGAAAGCTTATATATTGAGGTTGGAACTCACTACTCAGTTGTAATTGTTCTAGTGAAACAAGCTTGCTAACTATTACACCACATCAAAGTGCCTAACTACATAATGTCATATGACTATGTGAGAAAATAGCAATGGGGATAGAGTCAGATCCCCAAATCCAAAATCTAGGGGGTTGTAATTTCAAATGATAGAACAATCTTGCAACTCCCAAATCAAAAATCCAGGATGGGAGGAATAAATCAAAAGGGTAAAAAAAAATTTGTATCCACCACTCACAATGCACAACTATCTTCTTTACCAATGAAGAACTAATAATCCTCCCATTGTCCAAAGTAGCCCTCTTTTATTGGGCTAAGAATGTCTGTAACTGGCCGAGACAAGTAGGCAAGTGAAAAAAAAACAAATAACAACAAACATATTGAGTTCTTAATAAAGTCAATCTAATTTTGATTTTCTTTTTTGACAAACAGCACAGAGAACACAAATTCTTTTTGTCACCAAAGAACAAGAAGAACAAGGAAAAAAGTACTAAATGACTAAAGAATGTTTACCTCTTCTTCAGTCAGTTCCCATCCAGAGGAAGCACCAAGATTATCATCCAACTGCTGCAATGTTTTTGCTCCAAAAATTACCGAAGAAACAATTTTCTTCTGAATCAACCAACGTAGAGCAACTTGTGCTACACTTTTTCCTAATGTTGAAAGAAAAGAGGAATTAAGTAAGTCCAGCAAATCAGGAGCTAATAGATTGAATCCATATTTAGATTACATTTTCTTGAAATCCTTTAAGAAGAAAAAATAAGTTGTCTAGTACGTGTTTGTATAAACACATTTTCTTATATATGTGGAAGTGCTCAATTTTAAATTCTTTTAAAAGCATTTCAAATACACGTGTTTTATTACCCAATTTCAAGCCCTGTTTCATATTGTTAATAAACAGCAACCCATTTTGATAAGTCACTAAGCATGAAATAGTGCTGTAAATGAGTAAATAAGACTAAAATTTTATTATCTTTTCATAGACATTGTATTAGAGAACAAGTTACATTTTTATGAGGAGTTCAAATGGAAGTTGCAAAAAGTTGATATCATGAATTATTGCGTCTATATATACAGAAGAGAAAACTTGTATTTTTAGACAAAGTTTTGAATATTAAATTTGACACCTTTTTGAATTGCACTTATTTTAATTGATTCATCAATGCAATCATTTGTTACATTGTTATGTATTTCTAACAAGTTGATCTCAGATTTTTTACTAGTAGTACCCATGAAAATTTCAGTTTCCCAATTTGTATTTGATTTAATAAAATTTAATCAGTTCATTGCAAATTTCAGGACTAAAAAAATAGCCATAAAAATTCCCCTATTGCCTCATTTGAGTTTAACTTTAACAAAATATTACCATAACAATCATAAGTATGAATGCAAGTCATTATTTAAAGTAGTAAGAGGGTACAAATGAAAAGATTTGAAATTAAGTTTTTTCCATTTCACTGAAGCAGACATTAAACACATGAGAGTATTATTGCCTCCTCTTCTTGCTGAAACCAAACAGCATCTGTCTTTCCTTGTTATCAAGAGAATAATCCATTATTTATGTTTGAGCATAATATATGTGCTAAGGATCAAGTAGAAGTTGTTTTTTTTTCTTCCAAGGCAACATTATATGAATTGTTCAAGCATTAATATTGTAAAAATACAAAGAAAAACAGTAACAAGTAAATCATTTTTCAAACCTAAATTTTTTGGTTATATCCCAAGGAAGACACTAACTTCTTCAACTGTAACACTATTTGGGTTGCTGGTAATTAATAATAATAAAGACTTGGAATATCAACAAAAATGAGATATTGATGATGAGACTAGCATGAAAATGGTTAATTGAATGATTGATAGCAGTTGATTTCCAAAGAATCAAGGTTTATGAAATGAACCAGGTGGGTAGCTGAGAGCACTGTTTGGTTTGTGCGATGGGCCAAGTGTTGACAGTATTCAACAAATGCCTGTGAGATCGACATGAAGGGAGTTCGGTTAAATGCCAGCTACATAGATGTCAGAATTGAAAAACAATAGGCTGAACGCCTGCAGATATGCTGACCTTTTGCCAAACAAATTTTCACCATAATGTGAGTTGCAAAATTCTCCCTGGGAAAGTGGTTCTTGGGCCAAAGGTGAGAGAGCCAATTGTTTGCATCAATTCACTTATGAGATGATAGCATTTGGAACAATTTTTTTAACTAGTCTTTGACTGAATGGTGGAGATGACATGTGCAGAAGAGCTATCAAGAAAGGAGGAGGGGCTGCCTGCATCCACTGACGGTTAGCAGACACAGACAAGACATTAAGGAGGTTGAAGGAGCTGCCCATGCCTATTGGAGAGCACATAGTAATAAGAGAAAGTAGAAGTAACCAGGCTGAGCAATGCCTGCACCCATCTCCCATGAGAGAAGGGGAATTCCCTAAAATTATGAAGTAATTTAATTTCTCAGGACCAAAAACAATGGAAATGACAGGTGGATGAAATACCAATCTCCACCCAACTACATCTCACCTCTACACCAGTTTTGTTTTGGGCAGGCAGTGGACAAGAGGATTCACCAAAACCCAACATACATCTTACCCCCACACCAGTTTCTAGTTGGAGTCCATAAAAAACAAATGCGTGAAAGTGGAATGAGATAGTTGAAAGCTGAGAAGTGACAGAAGGGAAGTGGCAGAGGTAACTGAGAAATTCCACAACACTTATCGAACACGAGAACCTCCAACTTCAACCTTGAGCCCAACTTACCAAATCAGTAAAACAAATTTTGCTAACTCTGCAAGCCAAAATCTTACCAGCTTACTCAAGTGTTGCGTCAGATTTAGGAATGGGTTGGGTCAACAAACATCTGTATCCTAACAACTAACAAACAAACCATTGTATGCAGTACTCGATATAAAAATAGTAAATATTTTTTCTATATATTTGGAGTGCTGTTTTTTCTCCAGTTCTACTGTACGACTTTGCTAGACTTGGACCAGCCCAACATGATGATACCTGCGACAAATCGATCTTGGCCACCTTATAATCAATCAATCACAACATGAAGTAGGGCAGGTCAGGATTAAAGAGATCACTCCATTGATCAAACCAGGATTCACCCTGGGCTGACCACGACGAAGGTGTTACACAACATCAAAGCAGGAGTCCTCCAGAGTGACACACTTGCACCTTTTCTCTTTGTTATCCCCCTTGACAACATATTGAGAACTTCAATCAACATCTAGGTTTTACTTTATCACCAAGACTCAAGTTGATATCCTGCAAAAAAGTTCAGATATTGACTATGCAGATGATCACCGCTGACACCATTACCAATGTCACAGTCCATTATCATTAGTGGCATTTTCTAGATGATGTCTATGTCAATGCATCTGAAACTGAATTCATAGGCTTCAATCAGCAAGGAATCAAGATCCAACTAAATAACAGCGCTATGGATTCAACCCTCATATTTCTACAATCTTATGCAAATGCAGAATATGCTTTGCAGGACATTGCTAATGAGCAAAATGAGAACTTGCGAGTAATCTACTGTTCTGGATACCAAGCCATGAAGCAAGATCAGTTGATCACCCAGCAACCTAATGACCTAACCTTGATGTGGGACTGTGATGGACTCATGAATGTCCAAGCTAACTAGACAGGATAAAATATAATTAACTTTCATTAAAAGATGACCAGTAATGAGTTATTCTATGTACTATTCAAGTATTTAAAATTTTCATAGTTAAATATTTAAATTGCTTTAGCAGTCAATAACATTTTTAATTTGGATAAATTCCAACAAAATTAGCATTTCCATTCAATGTTCCTTTTCAATTAAGCACATAATGGTTAAATTAGGTATTTCTTATGAAACAAACTTTCAAACATGAAAATATATAAATAACCAAGTGCTAAGTTTAATTTATATTTTTAGGTTACTTTCATCTTTTTTTAAAATCATGATCTAGTAATATTAACATATCAAAACTATGGAGAAAAACTTGTCTTTACCATGAACAGTAGCAATGTCTTTCATAATATCCAACAATTCCCAGGCAGCATCTTTTTCTTTTAAGATTGTCCAAGCTGGTTGGCTTTGAAGAACTCTCTTTTGTTCTTCAAGAGCAGTGAAACCAATTCTGGTTTCAGGTGATGGCATTTCATCTCTCTTAAACTTTCCACTCAGGAAACCACTTGGAAAAAAAAAAAAAAAAAAAAAAAAAAAACATTACAGCTGATACTCTTTTCCTGTTACCCATTGGTTATTGCCAGACAAAGGGAAATTAGCCCTTGCAACACAGATGTCCATTTCAATCAAATTGTATGCATTTATATGTTTGCATGTGTAAATTTTAATTCAATGACGGCCCTAAACACTTCCAAAGTTTTTGTTTAAATCTAAGATTCTATTATCAAATAATTTCTGAAAAGTTCAATAAAATCTTAACTGCTTCATTTTTTAAAGTTAAAAAAAAAAAATTTCTCTCTCCAACTTTGATTTTATTGCTCAGCCCAGAATATGAGTTGTCCAGACTGAATCTGGAGCAGTGTGTGTGTGTGTGTGTGTGTGTGTGTGTGTGTGTGTGTGTGTGTGTGTGTGTGTGTATATATGGATATATATCTCAATTTCCTCCTTGCTGTGCACGGATAGCTCAGGAGTAGAAACTCCAACTGATGCCAAATCGGTTGGGTTTCAATCCCAGCTTGAAGCAATCTGATGTCTAGGTGCACTGATGAGCTGTGATACAGGGAAACAGGCCTGTATGTGGAGGGGGCACACACACATTATATATATATATATATATATATATATATACACACACACTTTAAATGGTACTAGTAGATTTAAGTCATTTAAATATGAACATGCAAAGTCAGGCAGTAGCAGAGAGACTTTATTCTCAAATTAGAAAAGATGAAATTCATTTCTTGCTAAATTATTAATTTAGTAGTATTAGCAAAAACTACACAAATTCAGGAACTTTAATAAAATGTATCAAATTTTAAAACTTTCAAAAGTTCTATTGAAAAAAAATAAATTTATCTGTCCTTTATAACAAGTTTTGTAGATAATACAATTGATGCAACAGCTGAATTTGTTAACTTACATAAATTAATTTTATTATTTGCACAGGAAATAGGAGAGAGAGCTATTTCTTAAGATTCATTTGGAACAAGCAAACAGCATCTAGGACTTGTTCTTTAAATGTATTAAAAAAAAAAGATATTATTAAAAACCAAACTCATAGAATTTAAACCAAGTTTTCATACAAAGAGATGCTGATGATTTTTTTTAACATGTCCTGTAGTTTTAAATATCTTGCTTTGGATTGTACTTTTTGCAAATTTGTCATTTGCAAATGGTAGAAAAAGAGAGAGAGAGAGAGGTTTTATTCAACATTTACAGAAGGAAAAAAGCCAAGAGTACCCTGTTTCAGAAAGGACTTTAGTAGGTTACAAACTTTGCTCTACTATCTAATCAATTCTGGAAGTGTGTAAAGAACAATTTCACAAAGATAAAAGTTTATTTAACAAGTTTAATCTTGTAGATAACTTAAGTAGACATCCTACTTTTTTAAAGTGTTAAACATCATTTAAATGGGCTGCAATGTCAATATATTGGTGACATGGCATTTCAGTTTACTCGTTTTGTCTCTCCAAATACTAGCAAGTTATATTTTCATTTTAAGTTGCTTTGCCAAATGTTGGAAACACTGCATATTTCTTTATAGAACATCTCTGGGCTTCCCCTGAAAATTTTGGAAAAGACATATGGCACCGTCTTAACTTTTACTTGAAGAATTTACAGATGTGTGTGGTGGAGTAATGGATAGCAGTTCAGACTGAGGAATCAGAACTGAACTCAAATTCCAATTGAATCCATTACATTCACTTACATGCTAATACCCTTGGGAAAGGTATGAATCCTCTTCTCTCCCCATCTATGGGTAAATAGCAGGACACACTGGGTTCTATAGCCTTGGATGGCTACTGCAGAAAGAAATGCAACCTACTGCAGGAAAAAAAAAAAATCTACCTTGTCAGTCATGTATTGAAAGATACATGACTGCATGGCACATGACTGTGTGTGTGTGTGTGTGTGTGTGTAAATAAAACAAAGCTCAAAGAAAGAAATTTGATTCAACTACAATAATATCTACAGAATTTTGTTACCAATATTAGGTAATATGCCTGTAATTATAAAATAGATTTAAATCACATTTACAGCACATAATGCATTTTTTAAAATTTGCTAGAGAGGATCTAATAATTGTTAGAAAATAACACATATCATTTGGAAAATCTTAAAAAAAAATAGTAGCCACTACTGCTGGCTGGTTTCTGTGATTAAAAAAAGATCATCAGCCATATGCAAAAAAAAAAAAAAAAAGTTATGTTCAGTAGTTTCTTGTATACAATTTCTCTATACAAGAGGTCTGACTTCATATCACTTGAATGTTAAGGTGATATTTATATGGTGAAATGAAATAAAAAGTTAACTTTCTGTTCAAAATATTTTTTATGATGACTGGTCATGAGCAGCTATTCTAAACTAGACCTGAAAACAGCCAATAAAGTTGTTTATAGTGTGGGTTACTCCATTTGGCTTTGCCTGAGCCACCTGTTAGGCAGTGCTAGTTAAGTCTAAAGCAAACAATTCCTTTTTTTTTTCCTCCTGCTTCCAGATGTATTCAAACAGGTAAAGAACAGCGCCACTGGGGCAGTGTCTATTAAACTCTTACAAACATGTGTTTTACACACACCAAGCACATTTTTCTTATAGCTAGTTTTAATGTCTTTTCTTTTGATTTCAATATTGTACATATGTAATTCCTTTTATTAACATGCATTGTCGTTTATTTTAAATTCCAAGTTTTGTATTTTACCTAGACTCACACAAGTCTTCCATATATTGTTTACTAGAAAATAAATGTTCACAACAAAAGTGGCGATTCCTGCAACAATAAACTTCTGGCAATAAAAGTAATAATTAATAAGATTGTAAAATAAACATTAACAATTATAGCTGTAATACGTGTGTGTGTGTATATATATATTATATATATATATACACACACACATACAAATGCATATTATGAAAGACTGCCATTAGAAATATGGAAAGTGTGTTAATGGTGACCTGTAAAATAAGATTTGGTTTAGCTGAATAGAATCTAATTCTATTTCCAGGTATTAATGATAGAATGAATGATTTGTATTACACTAAAATTGTTTGTATGTTTTATTTATTATATTATTTCAAAATGCTGTAATGCTGTAATGCTTTGGTGTAGTGGTACAGACTTCCAGCCATTTTGAATCATGATTTAAGATCTAATCTGTTGCAGTTTTAATTGTATCTATCTTAAGTTCTTATTTTAATTATTTCTTTTTGTCATCTTCATGAGGCTTTAAACAACTGACTCTTTCAAAGTATAGCTTAAAATACCTGCTCATGACCAGTCATAAAATATTTTGTATAAATTGTAGTTCATAGTAGCAGATAAATATCTTCACACACAAAGGATATAAAGTTAAGCCTCCTGCATAGATGGATTGCTTACAAAAAGTAACTCAATCTGAAAAGGATTTAAAAATAAAATAAAAAAATGACATATGTAGATAATGTTTAAAGCTTCCATAATAAAAATTAGGACATGTACTTAATCTCTACGAGATTAAAATTAACTAACCTGCATCTCAATGGAGGTTTATTCATGATCTCACACACTTAGGTTTTATTGGTTGAAGACAAACCACCAAATCAATTGATAGCATGCTTCATTTTAAGAACATTCAACAACGATACTGTGCAAATAGAAGTCTGTTCATGTTATTTTCAGGAGTTAAACACTTTCAGAAATGTTGTCATGGATCTTGATGACTTTTTCGCTTCCATGTTCTGTAAATGTCCATTTTGAAATGGATTTCTAACACTGCAGTAATATTTTGAAACTTTAGTAATACAGGACAGTAACTTAAAATTAAGTTTCACTGTTGAGGTCACAGGCTGACTAATTTTCAACATCTCAAATTATAACAAAGTCATTTTTTCCTCTCCAGTGACAATCTTCCACAAAGACAAAAATACAGATGGTAAGGTAATGTAACTGACAAATGTGGGGGTACCATTTTGTCACTTTTTCAAGTTCTTCAGTCAATTCCAAATGTTGATTGTAGTCATCACTAAAATTTTGATGGTCAGTGCCAACTTATTGTGGCCCAACACTGTAGTTTGTCTTCCAAGTTTTATTTTTTTTAAACTATTTATGACACTCCTAAGTCATTTCCATAGACCTCAATCTGCTTTGCTTCTGTCTGGCTCAACTGTCCTCAAAAAGAACATGTAATCCTTTACATCTATCTTATCCACTGCCCTTTTCTTTCAACAGAATAAAAAAAAAAGATAAAACAATATTAAAAGTAATAAAAAAATACAAGATTTTATGTAGGAGCAGGATCCAAATAAGTTGTTTTTTCAAACCACTGTTGATAGGCATGAAAATTTACCCTTTTAGTGGACTCCATGGCAGCACCCCAATCCCTTCATTAAGGCAAACTTGGAATTCTTCAAATTCTGAGTGTCTCTCCAATAGACTGTATTGTTGCTACATGGATTAAAAAAAAAAAAAAAAAAAAAAAAATCAGTCATTCTCGTAAACAGTTATTCCAATCACAGACACAGCAAACAGTACATTTTTCAGTTTATTATTGCCTTTCAATGTAATACAAATAAGAATGGTGGGGGTACATAGATTTTAAAACTTATTTGAATGTGCCACCCCCCCACCCCACACCAATAAAACTCTTTAGCATCAATGAGCTGAAACAATCATTATTTGGGTTTAAATAATAATATGGGAGTTATTTAAAGATTTAATCTAAGAACTTTATCAAAACATATTCAAAAGTTTCAATACACGTGGATCTCTATGTTGGATGTTGGTTGGAGAAGAAAAGAACTTTGACACTTGTTTAGATAAATGACCAAAGATTTATTTTTATATAAAAGTTGCAAGAGCATGAAATAGGAGTACACTTAACCCCAGCTGACTGCTTCGTAGTTATTGCTTTGTGTCTGCGCGTTGATAGGGTCCATTCATTTACTGTGTTTACTGGAGGTTGTTAATAAAGCCTAATTGTCGGATGGTCAATCAGCTATGAGTGTGTGCTTGAAGTCTCTCTCTTTGCTTTCTGTTGGTATCCTACTGTCCAGGTTCTTATATAAAGGAAATGCAGATGTAGTTGAAAGCATTTGTGGCAAATGAGATTCACCTCAATAATGGCTAGCAGAAATATTTGTGTTTCTTTTAAAATTTGTTTTGAGTAGAGTGCGGCATGTATGTAACTTAGCTAGACAAAAATTGGTGTATAGCTAGATATACATTTTCTAATAATTGTGTAAACTTGGCTTTAATTTGTTATCTCTATATGTAATTTGTGTGTTTTTGCTACACACCATATAAATTGGGGAAAGTTTCTATTTTTCTTTAAAAATAGACTAAAAACAAGAACTAAAAATTTCTTCATGCCAATTGTATAACTCAAAGACAATTACAAAATTTTAGATAGAAGGCAAGTCTCAAATTATGATTGTAAAAATAGTTACTCAAAAGTGAAGAGGGATTTCATTATTTTGAGATTCAATCATTCTAAAGATATGAAAATAAAAGACATAACAACAAAGAGATGCTGAAAAGTTAGTCCAACCCACAACTACACAGCACCTCCAACTCCCATGTTTACTATACTCTAAGCACAACAAAAATGTATTTAAGCTGAGATTGGAAAAATGAATAATTATTTTCAAATGTATTTTTCAAAAATATATAAATATATTAAAAATACATAAGATCATGATTTAAAATAATTCTTAATTTACTTTCTGAAACAAGAGTGGAATTAAAATAAAATCAAATGTCATAACTTGTTTCAAATGACCCCCACAGAAAAAAAAAATGAAAAATACAAGGATAATTCAACTTACTTGCAAACTAGCAATTGGAAGCATTCCTATATCTTTGGCAACATCAACAATCTTCTGTATCTGCCAACCACAAACATTACTCAACCCAACATAATGGATTTTGCCAGCCCGTTGTAAATCATGGAGAGTAAGTAAAGTCTCCTTGATTGGGGTGCCCACATCCCAACAGTGAGTCTTAAAAAAGAAAAAAATTATAAGGAATATATATCAAAGTAGAATCATTACTGCTACTAATGTATTATATCTGAATATGTATATCAAAGAAAATTAGTTGAAAATTAAATATCCAGTGAATCATTTCAAAATTCGGTTATCACACTAATAAAAATCAATTTCATGACAAAGTATTCTGGAAATAAGTACAAGTTTTAAGAAGGGAATGTTTGACAGTCATTTGAAGATCCAGTTTAGAAATTATCTCTTCCCAGGTGAGACCACTTAATTCATCAACATTGTCATCTGATGTTATTTTGATAATTCATTAGGCAGAGAGTCATCTACAGAAATGCATCATTCTAGCAAAATCAATAAAGTTTTGTTCTATCAGGAAGTATTATTGTTTAGTCAAAGTTTGAAAATCAGAAATCTTGGGTCAGCTTAAAAGCCCTTCCAGCCAAGCCTGTTTCAAAAGAATTTAAACTAGACTCATTTTTCAGAGAGAAATATCCTTGTAAAGATTGGCTGAGACAAAGGTTGGGTTTCTCTTTAGTTTAGTTGATTTGTTTTATGGCATATCAACCCCAATGGGTTATTTAATGGCAACAAAATTTTCATTGCTGGTAATGTTTTGTCAAAAATCTATTTCTGGTAATAATTTTTTTTTTTTTTTTTTTTTTCTTTCTTCCAAAAATGCATTGCTGTAATAATTTTTTTCAAAAAACTATTGCTGGAGATAATTTTTTTACAAATATATTTCTGGTATTAAAACCTGTTTTTACTCTTTTATAGTGTTTTTACCCCAGTTTTGAGGTTGACGATTTGCTCATAGCTGGGACCCTAACAGGTGCTACCACCCCAGGTCAGGAACACCAGCAATTAAGAGGTGTTTCCACACTTCTCAAAACCTCCTGATCAGAGGCCTTGCTGTTGGACAGTTTATCGTCTTACCCAGGATGGGTTTCTCTTTAACAAAATGAAAAATAGTACAAGATTTAACTAGAACAGCAATCAGATAATGGATATAATAAAATGTTGTACTTGCATATGTGAACATATACAAAGGATATCAGTTTTACAACAGTATGTAGACAGCACTGACATACTAAACAATATAAACCAACAACATTGAATGTCAGATCTGTTGAATATATTAATACCGGACAGTTCCATGTTGTATTTTCAATTGTCAGAACACAGAACTAATATTGTTAAAAGTCAAAAATGAAAATTACCTGATAAATATCAATGTAGGATGTTTGTAGATTTTTCAGGCTGCTCTCAATGCCCGCCATAATGTGTTTTCGGCTGAGGCCAATTGAGTTGACATCTTTAGGGTTAGTATTAAATCGTACTTTTGTGGCCACAACAAACTCATTTCGGTTATGTCTATAATGTAAAACAAATTGGAAAAGGTGCAATGAACTATTTCAAATTGACATTTCATCAGATTTACTTAGTACAAAAACAGTAGTGAGCCACCCGATTCTATTTTAGACGGATTCTTAATTTGTTATCCTAACATTTCATTGTTCAACTATAGTTGATATTATAGAAAGGCAATCTATCATTATGATTAGATGCAAAGCTCATTTGCAGTCTATATTTAGAATATTAATTGGACCTTTCCAATAGCATTTTTCTTTTAAATTTTAAACAAATAGAAAATATGTCACTTCAGTAAATGTATATTTGAATTATTTCTTCAATATCAAAACCAGGTTTCTGGCAGATTCTCCTGGTAAACACACAACAAAAAAATGAATAGAGAATTTGATTTTACACACACACAAAAAAAAAAAAAAAAAAAAAACACACACACACAAGGCAAGTAAAATACAAAGTATCTTTCAAACTAGATTTTGAAAGTTTGTTATTCTGCCACTGATGAAACATTAAGTTTACATGGAAAGAAAGAAGGGGGAGGGATTTATATGTATGTATAAAAAAAAAAAAAAAAAAAAAACTCATTTCTGGATACAATGTATAAAAAGATATGCTTTGTTTTATTACAATGAATTAACCACATGACAGTTAATTTTCTATGTTTACAAGCTATGACCAAAATAACATTCAAAGACAATGGTCATCTTATTATCCAGCAAAATTATCACATACAATTTGGTAGGAATGTAAAAATATTAAAAAAGATTGTATTAAAGAGAATAGATCAGTTCAAGTATAATTATCAATTTTAGCAGCTCCAATAGTTAGAGGGAGATTTTAAGCCTTTCCATACGTTTTGCTCATGATGGAGCTAAATTAAACTAAGTGTAGGAAGTATCTAGTCATTCTTGTAAACAGTTATTTCTATCAGACATAGCAAACAATACATTTTTCAGTTTATTATTGCCTTTCAGTATAATACATTCTGTAACTATTCCTCAACAATCTTATACTTCTGCTTGTCCTTTAGTTAGCAGGACCCTTATGTTCTGTCAATACCTCATAAATAATGGACAATTCCATTTTGATCATGTGGAAATACAAAACACTGGTGCATCTTGGTTTCAGTGAGAAAAATCAAAGAAAGGGAAGATAAGTGCTTAACATCTGTTTCAGTGAAATGGAAAAGTTGTCAATGCCAAATTCTTTCATTTGTACCCACTTAAAATAATGACCAGCAATGTTTTGTTAAAGTTGTTAAGCTCAAATATTTAATGATGAGATAGAGTGGGGGATTTCTATGGATATTTTATTGTTGTAGAACTTGCCATGAGCTTATTCAATTATTAAGTGACAAACTCAAATAGAAAAACAGTGAAATTGTCACTGGTATATTATAAATTATTTAAATACTTATAAATTAGAAGACTGAATAATGCCTTGTAAAATCAGAATCCAAATAATGGCAAATATATTTTACTCAAATGAAAAATATAACCTGTAAAATTACAGACCAAGATACTTTTATTACACTATAAACATTTTAAATATATTTTTATGGTGTAGTGAACTTTTTAAACTATATAAAAGTAATACTTGTTCCTATCAACATTATACTATAATTAGAAGTGACTCATTGACAAAGCCATTAGAAACTTCTGGAGGAGGTCTAATATTTACATTATCAGATAGTTATAGAAAAACAAAAAAGGTTACCTTATCTCTAATAGTGTCTATTTGGCAAAATTAAATTTAGAGTTGAAAATATCTCAGTGATACTGTAATGTCACCTTCTGCTCTTCTGTTTAGCTAAGGGCTAGGGTGTATAAGGACCAGTAATTGAAAAATTAAGAATTAAGTAGATGTGACACAATGTCACATGGAAGTTCCAATTCAAGCAACCAAAAGGTTGTGCATATTAAATCTTAAAATTAATATTTTTTTTATATTGAAGACTTACTTGCTCAGCCAAGAACCAACAATTTTTTCAGACAGACCATCAGCATATACATCAGCTGTATCAATAAAATTGCCTCCCCATTCAACATATCGGTCAAGGAGCAAGTGAGAATCTGCTTCATTGAGTTGACCAGGACGGGCAACTGAGTCATCCTGTGAATTGAAAGAGGAAAGCCACATCTCATAGTAGGAAAGAGTTTCTTTGATACATTAATTGAAAGATTACTTTTAATATGAATACCAAAGAGACAAACATGCAGTTTTAATCTTGCCAATATTCCAAGAATTGTTTTTTTTCTTTTAATGCCAATTAAAAATTCAGTTACCATATTTTATCCACATGGTTTAGATATCTTTAAGAATTTATTTAATGTCAATGTAGTGGTTTGCATCAAGAAATTACAAAATGTAAAATATTTCTAAATTAAGAAAAAAAATATTCAAATCCTAGAATAGAATCCAAGATAAAACTGTCTGTTAAAATATAAAAACAGCATGCAAATTAGTTTCCTGTTCAATTCTTGAAAGATTAAGTATTAATTTTCACAAGGCATTTTTTACTAAAGAGTTTCTGTCTACAAAGGGAGGCAAGAAGCATTGGTAAGAATAAATCCAAAAAGACTGATATGTTGCCAATTTGAAGTTGGACATTAAAGATCAAAATATTGACATGACAAACAAATCATTGTGTCAAACTTGCAGGACCTCCAATAACAGGCTTCAGCTAATCAGACTTACATATATTAAGTCACTTTTGTTCCCAATGTTTATATCCCTCAAGAGGATATTTAAGGGAACATTTCCAAGAAAATGAAAAAGAACAATGATGCATGAGATATGTTCTCACCCCAATATCTAAACCAATAAATCAACAATGTTTGGTTAGCAAGTTTGAATGTTCAAAGTCTTAGATTAGAATCATAAAAGATTTTGACAAGCTAACCATTTTAAGTGCCTAGGTGTGGTTATATGTTGTCTTCAAGATCTTACTGTAAATAACTAAAAACCTGGTAAGGTGATTTCATTTTTTTCTTAGCATCTTTGGTAGTCAAATGGCATGTAGCTTTTTGCTGGTAAACTGTTCTTTGAACATAGTACCTTTGTTTATGCAGATTCATCAAGCAGATAGTGTACATTGGATGTTAAAATATTATGCATTTCACTGGGGTTTACACACTTGATGACTTAGGTGAATAAATCTTTCATGACATTAGTGAAATAGATAATTTTAGCTGTTAATTGGAATTATATTCTTGATCCCAATTTAAATTTGTGAGTGGTAGAGTACTAACAATTTGGATGTGAAATCAAATCAGGATTTCATCAGTAGGATGGATATTGTCAATATATTCTGAAGCAAGCATAAAAAAATATGGATCTGCAATGTTCAATTTTAGCAAAGCCAACATAGAAACAGTGTTAAAGTTTTTGGAGTATCATTTATTTGGACTAAAGGCAACCTAAGTCAGGATAAATTTAGGTAGGTGTAAAGACTGGCCAATAGGATGGGGGTGGGTAGCAATAGCTAAGGCAAAGCTGGCCACCTTAATTTAAATTGATTTTTTTAAAGTTTTTATTCTTCATCCCTAGTCTTTAGCCACAGCATCATCTCCCTCCGTATCAAACTATCCTACAAATGGGTTTTCAACATAAAATTACTAATCCTCTCCCAATTATTTTTTTTTATCTTTTGTTACAAGCAAATTTACCACATGTCTGAAATTTACCACATGTCTGAAATTTACCACATGTCTGAAATTTAGAAATAATCCCTGTATCAAACAGTTGTTCTTAGCATTAGCCAAGTGACAAATATGTGGCAGCTGTTAAGTACAAGGAGTGGCTATTAATGCCTGGAGTATTGTCTGTTAAGTACAAGGAGTGGCTATTAATGCCTGGAGTATTGTCTGTTAAGTACAAGGAGTGGCTATTAATGCCTGGAGTATTGTCTGTTAAGTACAAGGAGTGGCTATTAATGCCTGGAGTATTGTCTGTTAAGTACAAGGAGTGGCTATTAATGCCTGGGTATTGTCTGTTAAGTACAAGGAGTGGCTATTAATGCCTGGAGTATTGTCTGTTAAGTACAAGGAGTGGCTACTAATGCCTGGAGTATTGTCTGTTAAGTACAAGGGTGGCTATTAATGCCTGGAGTATTGTCTGTTAAGTACAAGGAGTGGCTATTAATGCCTGGAGTATTGTCTGTTTCAATTGGACACTGTGTTCAATGAACAGTTTAGCATTTCCCAAATCTTGTATTGATGGTGAACTACTTGATCTATTTCTATAAGTGGTCTTGAAATTCCTTACGTATGTCAGTTTTCAAGTGTCATTCATCAAACATCTTGTTAATTCATAACACTGAATTCTTGAGCATGCAATTCATGTTATATTCATTGCATCAGCTACTAAACCTGGTCTTTCTTGATAAGCTAGGTAGTCAGCAATATTTCTGTTTTTACAGAAAACTTGGCACATGGTCATGGGGAAGGATAGTTTTCAAATGTTCTATCTTTAACTCAGTTAGCCACATTCACTGACCCAAACAAACAATATTCCTTACACCAAAACAAATTCTTACCATTCTCACTACAGTCACCTTAGTACCACTAACTAGTCTTAACTAGTCCCCATATGTACAATTTTTACTCTTGTCAGTGTCAGCAATAATTTCTTGAAATGGAAAAAAAAAAAAACTAAATAATTCAAGAGATTTATATTTTTCCAAGTCATACTTTTTTTGTATTCTAAAAAAAAAAAGGAACCATTCCCTGTGTTATTTGTTGGAATTTAATTTGAAAATATTTTACAAGTTCACATTCTCGCTATTTTTTCTATCCTCACTCCAACCTCTTTTTACTTTCAAAACCAGCTCCCAAAGCCTTGGTTGTTATCAGAGATAAGAATGCATTTTCTGACTAACAAGAGAGCTGGAAAATATAAAAAGGAATTCCACCACCATTATTCTTTCCATGGTGCCATAAAGTCTGGAGGAACCTCACAGCTTGTTCACTCCAACCTGTTTTCATTACTTTCAAAACCGGCTCCCAGATCCCCGATTCATTTCAGAGATAAGAATATATTTTCTGACCAATGAAGGGTCCAGGAAATTTGTTTAACAATTTTGGAGGGAAAAGTCTGAGTCTTCTGAGCTTACCAAATCTCCATAAATTTGGAGAATCTTTACCTATTTGGCAGTAAAAATTCGACCACCGTCTGTGAGGCCAACAATAGAAAGCACAAGTCAACTTCGGAACCACTTTCAACCAAAGAAAAGCTACCCACTACTAAAAACCAATTGAAAGCTGCATCCCTGCACCCCCTCCTCCTGTCGGGCCCACTGGACTTCTGTAGTCGACCTACAAACTCACTCAACTGCAAGATTCCTATATCTACCAACAATTTTCCTACTCTACAAGAACTGTGAGTGTTTCTAAACCTTAACAAAATTCTACTCAAACTTTTTAGGCACCCAGAGAAATATTTTGAGCAAGCCTTTTTTCTGTTATGAATATTTTCTCTTCCCTTAAAAGACATTTTCTTTTCCCTTTCTTTCACTCTTAATTGTTTATCCCTTTACCCTTTTTTTTTATATATATATGTAAATAAACACTTCTTTTATTGTTACACACCGAGCAGGAGTTTTTTTTTTTTTTTTTATTTGTCCACACCTAAAAGAGAGTTTTTCCACTCTAATCTTGCTGTTTTTACTTGTGTGTTGTCACAATTTTTTAACTTCAACCCAAATTTTTTAACCTCATCCCTTTGATGCAGGAAAGCCAAGACAAATTTCCCCGCATATTTATAAAGCATTGTAATTGCTTTGTCATTATTCCAGCCATTTGATTAGATAAAAATTCTAACAAAAAATTCAGATGGAGTTCTCAGCTAGTCTTGAGGTTGGAAATACATTTTTAGTGAACAATTTTAGATTAACTTTTTAGCAATTGGTTTAGGGAAAGACTAAGCACTTGGCAAAATTATTTAATGAAATATTCCAATATAAATAAAACACTATTTTACAAAAGATTATAGCAGACTATGTATTTTTCTATAGAAGTGAAGTTGTCATTTCTGTACAAAATAGAAGCTAGAGATAAAAATTTGAATTGTTGTTTCAATCTTTTGACCAATGAGAGCAGACGAAAAGGTCGCTACATTTATGACCTGTGGATGATCTTTAAGAAAGAAAAGAACTGAAGGATCTATCTAACCACTATCTATCTAACCACTGAAAATGTTAATATTGGTTTTGCTCGTAAATTAAAAATGAATATTTATTTTTAGTCAATTGAAACTAACAAATTATTCTAAATTTTTCGGTTCAGTTTGAGCCGCTTATTTCCTATATAAATTTCGAGGATTTATCGGGTTTTTTGTAAACTTTTCGTATGTTTCATAACTTGCTCTTTATTACTCACTTTCAACTTTGTTTCGGTTGAGTAGTATTAACATTCAGATATGTTATGGATTCCCTTTCATTTATCAGCATCTCTACCTATAAAAGGCAGGATGTGTGTGTGTGTGTGTGTGTGTGTGTGTGTGTGTGTGTGTGTGTGTGTGTGTGATGGATGCACGGCTGCAATTTTTGATGGATTTGCACCAAAATTTACATGCGCAAAGTTAGCAGGAAGGCCAAGACCGACTTTGCAGCCATTTTCTACTGGCCAGAGTGAGAGCCAATAGCTGGCTGCCACGAATAGGCAGGAAGATTTTATTGGCCAGCGTGAGAGCCAACAGCTGACTGACACGAATGTTAACTAGCATGCACAAAGAAAATCAATAACTGCATTCATCACAAGTGTGAAAAATTTAAATCTGCATGGCACTTTACGCCAATTGGCTCATTCGCTTCTTAAACTCAACGTTAATTCCGATTCCGCAGAACTGGGTCGGGTGTGAAAAAGTATAGTTGTTAACATTCTTTTTTCATTCGGTTTTTCCAGTTACGAGTCCAGTTTTAAAGCTGATAGTTTTGTGTTCATTTTGTTTAGTTCTTTTTTCGTAACAGATTTAATGTTTAGTATAGAGCTTAGAAAAAATTCGCAGTGTGAGATAGGCAAGAAGTAAGGCATGTAGCAACATCAGCAGGGCAAAGGGCACTCCTTTAAAGGCAAGGAAGGGCAAAAATAGTTTAAGTCAAGTGATAGCGATTACTGTATGAATCGTACGATTTTTGAATCAAGCACGGGCAACGCCGGGCCATGCTGCTAGTTCTTTTCTAAAAAAAAAAAAAAAAAAAAAAAAAACTTGCATTTATCACCATCCAAGTTTAACTCTCGCTGTCACGCACATACTCTCAACTCAACATAAAACAATCTGAGTGAGTCGCGCATCAAAATTTAAAAAATAAAAATAAATAAAAAAGCTCCCACTTGACATTTTGGTACTTCATGTTTTTTTAGTTTTCATACGATAAACTTGAAAAAAAATTTGTTTTTATAAATTAAATATGCCACAGTTTCTACTTACAACTTAAAAAAAATGTTATAAATGTTGAAGTGTTTCATTTTCACAATATATGCTTCAAAAATAAAAATAAAAATCTTTGCTGATTTTCCAATAGAAAGCTGCCGTCCTCAGAAAGGGGAGGTGGTGACGCAGTTTTAACAAGAACCAGAAACTAAAAACTAAGTTTCTCCTCCAAGATAAAAAAAACAGTGCAAAATTGAAGTGTTTTTTTTTTTTTTTTGTTTAGTTTTGTTTTGTTTTGTTACTCCTGCGAGATAAGTGTTGTCAGTTGATTCAGTCATTTATTTTGCTATGGTACGTTACACCTTTAAGTCAATCTCAATTTTTTTTTTTTAGGTTTTGTTTAAACAATGTGTGACAATCAATGTATCCACGTGTCTTAGAAGCAGAGAACTAGAAGAGTGAAAATAAGAGGCGGTGTTCAACAAATGTGTTTTAGTAGAAAAAAAATTACAATCACGTTGAAGAATTTATAAAAGGAAAATTAATACAAGTTTTCTTCAGTGTTGAACACGAATGAACATTTTTCACATTCGTTTAATTTTGAGATAAAATAAATGTAAGTACGGAAAAATGTTATGAAATTATACTTTTTAGTAGTTTTACAGTACACTCAGAAATGAATAAAATAAAATTACAAACGAACTATTCATCGTGTTAGGGTCACCTTAAGCGTTCATTTATTTTTAAATAATGCTATTTTTCTTCAAAATGATCTCGGTAACAAAGAATAAAATATGTGTCCGATAGAAATAATTGTTGGATTTGGTTGAAATTTTTTGTTAGCAACTTATCACAAGAAAATGCTAGAGACAAATAGCCTAGCCAAAGCAAATTGTTACGAAAAACAAAATATACTGCTGGGATATTTAACAATGTTTTATTAAATTAAATGTTAAATTAACATTTAGTAGTTTATGTTTAATGAAAAACAAAATATGCTAAGAAGTTGTCTGCAATATCGTGCAAAAAAAAAAAAAAGAAAAAAAAAAGTCAAACTGAAATGATTATCTGTATAATTTTTTTAAGACGAAACTAAAAATAAGAAACAGATGATTTTATTTTTATGTTTTCTAGGGAGAAAGTTTAATTTTTCTCCCACGAAGAGAAATACATTCGGAAGAAAGGGATTTTTTTACAATGGACCACAAAAATGGTAATATTAGATAATTAGAGCTATTTATGTAGTAGAAAAACCTAACAAGCAGCAGTATATTTTTTCACAAAAAAGGAAACGATGTACAATTAAAAAAAGTGAATCTTACTACAATTCCGAAAGTCAACGCGCCAAAACAGAGGTTTGACACTTTCATTCCGGTGTCACCGAGATAATTATAATCCATTTTTAGCGACATTGTTGCTGTAATTCTGCTGGGCACTTGAAAACTTTGCCGTGAAAGTTGCACTATTCGATACTCAAGCGCGGTCAACAAACCGCAACAAACAATATTTAACACCGGCTCTAGTTTGAATCGAAATACTAACTAAACTCAATTACTGCTGCTGCTTTTATACCCGCTGAAACGAGCACGTCTCTATATAGCTCCAAGGTTAGAGTCGAGATTCGGTTCGATGACTTGCTTCAGTTTGTTTAACCAACAACATTTATTTACAATACTACAAACAACAATATGAACGAAATTAGAAGTTTAAAGTTGTGAAATATAATTAATAATGCCACAGTCTCAAAGAAGGCAGTACCGACTTCTGGAGACGGTGGCATAGTCACAAGCGGTTTCGATGAGAAAAAAAGGGGGCAGCAAAACCAAAGAGAGCGCTTTTGTGTGTGTGTTTTGTTTTTATAGTTACAGCACTTAAGAAGGTGTAGAATGAAATTAACAGAGCGAATTATACGAAGGATACTTTCCCATCGTATTTTTCACCCAGTTTAACTTGCTTTTTTTTGTCATACGTTACTTAAAACCGTGGGAAGGGTCACATACTAACACATTTTTCTTTGTATATTTTACATTCTTATCAGGGGATTTATTTTTATCATTATGTAAGTTAAAAATCATGAAGGGTGCTGGAAATCAAATCAACTATATCTGCACCCCAAAATATTAATCAAACATCAGATTCTTTGCGGATAGGAGGAATCGAAAGAACTGCTTGATCAATTCGAGAACTTTTCAGCACCCCTTCATAAACGGAAGTATGGTTTTATTTTACTTTGTGGTACGGAGTCGAAACCCGAAGTTTGTATTGGAGGAAATTCTGTCGTACAGATTTTTTCATATATTAAAAATCCGAACGTCCAAATTCCAAACATTAATAAAATAAAGAAAACTCGGTTATGCCTGTTAGTGTTAAATAAATCATTTGTATTTACAAACATATGTACATGAATTCAAAAAAGTTAAAAAAAAAAAATCAGGAGTAAAAATAGTTTCTAGTTGAGTTCGTCTTTGGATAGTTGGTCTACAGAAAAAGTATTTAGAGAGGACTTTTAGATGGTTGCTCCACAGAAAATCTGTGGTTGAGAAAAGATTTTTATCGTTAGCGAAGATTCACTGACTGTCTTTGTTGTTGTTGGACAGGATTCGTTTGAAGTCGCCAACTGACCATGATCATCAGCGAAGATTCACTTGTAGCATCCTGCTACCACTTCCTTATCAATATATAATTTTGTGCATTTTTGTGCAAAAAAGTGAATCAGAAAGCCTGCTCAGCTTAGTAAATATTTTCAGGAAATATCAGCTTCTAATTGGTCAATAAACACACAAGTGGGCGTTGCAATCCACCCACGTACAAATATTTTTTCCAGCGCGTGACCAAGTCAGGTTTCCAGCCATTTTCTGTGATCCTGTCACGTGATTACATTATCTATAAATAGCAGACACGAGTTCGCTCATTCTCTTTTACTCTTCAAAATTCCTGCGAAGATGTGATCTTAAGGCCAAGGGTTATCGTCTAGACCATGGGCGGTCAGACATTAAAAGCACATTCACGCACGCACGTGCGTACGAACTTTTCCGAACTACATTACAAACATACAGAACATTTTCAAACATGCAATAAGAACTTTTCTCTTTGAAATATTCTTCTAAAACTACAGTTTATTCAGCATTTCTCAGCTTTATGATTAATTGAACTTTTGTGAGTTCAGATAAAAATATTCCCAGTCTAAGAGACATAACTCCAACAGAACTTTAACTTCTACGCATGTACATCAACACGCAAATGAATACAAATGTTATGTTTTTAAAACCATTTTGTATTTCATGCTTTGTGGTATTTTACGTTTAATGTAAATTGTGTGGTCATCTTATTCACGCAGCCGTAAACAAACATCTATCCTTATCAACAAACAAACATCTACAATTGTCCATTCTTATTACCAGACCACTACACACGCTAACCCTCCAAGCTGCTGCTGTTGTAACTAATTGGTTTGAAGTCGCCGACACATATTTCTTTCAACACGCGCTGTGTGAGAAGGAAAAAGCCATGTAGCCACGTGATCTCTTCGGCTTGGAGACAGCTCCATCTTTTCTCTAATTCGAAATCGGTGGGTTTTTATAAGATTTTTCCCAAAAGTAGATTCAAAGAAAATACGGTTTTAGTTTTCTCTGATTGGTCAAATATTCCACGTGTGATGTTAATTTCTAACCAATAAACACTTTGATCTAAAGGGTTTGTATTATATTGTGGAATTTTTATTCAAAGATCACACATCTCAGCGAAGCTGCAACGTATGGTCTTGAGTAACCTCCTTCTTCTTTTACTTTGTCTAATGTATCATTTACAGAATATATTGTAGAGCGCGAAAGAGTATCTGCCATAATATTGTCTGAGCCTTTAATGTAACAGATGTCCGGCATTTTAAATTGGGATATTTTCTTGCCACTTCTTCTGGTGTGGTTTCTTCTTTGGTATCTCGATTTGACAAATTTAAGCGCAGTACTAGATTGACAGCTAGGCCTCATTGTTTTACAGTTGAAATGACTAGATGTAGCCGTAAGTTCTATGGTAATAGTTTCTTCTCTCACACTTTTAGCTTGTGGAATTCTCTTCCGGCCTCTTGTTTTTCAGTCAACTTTGATCTTCACAAATTTAAATGCAATGTTAACCGTTATCTTCTGTATTAATAATTCTTGTTCTTTTATTCTTCTCTCTCCTTAATAATGTTTTCCTTTATCTCATATTCTTTCACACCCAGTAACCCCTTGCGTCTTAGTGACTTTATTACTTTGGTTGAAGTGAAATGATTTAAAATAAGAAAATGGAAGCCTAGATGAAGTCAAATTGGAAAGGAGGTAAAATTAAAAATGGAATACTACAATAACACTGATGTCATATAATGAAACAACATATGGAAATATTTCTCAGAATATCTTGTTTTATTTTTACGAGAAAAAAATAAGACTGAGTTGAAATCCAATATCACATCTAAACTTTTAGTGAAAAGTTATAGTAATTAAGTATAATCATAATTTGGGCATCGTTTCAAGTAAGTCCGTCACATCTACGGCTATTTCAGTGGGTAGTTTTTCGACAACGTAGCGATATTGTAGACGCTTTGCGTTGAAAATTGCTTGTAATTGCAAGAACCTTATATTTATATTAGAGGAGTTGAACGTTGGAAGGTCCATCATTAACGTGGTCTCCATGGGTTGCGTGGTTGTAGTCTCCTCCATTATGTGACCAGTTGAATCCGTGGTCTGCTAATTTAGCTAGGCACCTCTTGTTAAAAGCAGTGTTCGTGTCGGCGTTCAGAAATTGTTGGGAGCAGAATGATGCAGTGTTGGTTTCTCGTCGAATGAGAGAAAAGACTGACACGTGCTCAAATAAAATTATATTTATTTAAACATAAGATACAAAAATTTTAACTAATTATCATGAAATGAAAGAAGGTTCTTCTCTTTGTAAGGAAATGAACATGAATAGTCTTTCAGTGAGGAAGAGAGAAACCTTAGTTGAGTGACAAGATCAAAGCGAGTTCGCTGTAGCATTGGTGAGAAAGACAGGACAACGAGGTTGACTCGTGTCTCTTTTCTGCTGTAAGTCATTCTGCCGAATTGAATGAATGTTTGGTTTTTATAGTCTCAAGTAGGCACCAGAAGCCTGTGTTCATTTTTTGGCGGGAGCTGATTTTATCTTTATTAAACAGAAAATTTGAAGTGTGTTTGAAACCCGGAAGGCTGCGCAGAGCCCTTGTGCAGTGTGTTTATTTTTGTCATTTGCTCGTTTGATTTGATACTGTTCATTTCATTGCTTACTCTACAGCCTCATGAAAAATGTTGTTGTTTGTAACACTTTGCAACAGTCAAACTGACAAGTTAGATATGAATGATTTCATATTTTAGAACTTAAGAAATTAAACTACAATTAATAAGTGACGATATGAATAAGGAAAACAACATTATACCAATATTAGCAATAAAATTGATATTTATTATATAAACGTTTGACTAGCGAGCGCTACACGAGCCAGGTAATTAGACATAGTTTCTTCCGAATTTGATACTGTTCATTTCCGCTTACTCATGAAAAATTCTATGGTGTTTGTATTTTGCGCAAGGAAGAGATCGGTCGCTATATTCGTGAAGTCAAAATCCCGAAGGGGCATACTCTTCGGGCCAATGACGAGGTGTTTCGGCGGCATTTCAAGAACCGGTTTACCAAGAATCCTGGTCTCTGTAACGAGGAGTTTCGTAGCTATTTTGGCAGACTTTCCTCGGCTTTCGCGCACTGAAGCAGCTAGCGAGAGAGATCACGGAGGACGAAGTCTATGCGGCATTGAAGAAGGTCGACTGAGGCAAGTCGCCCGGTCTGGATGGTTTGCCCTATGAATTGTACTTGAGGCTGTCGCACATCTTTGTCCCGATTTTGACTCTTGTGTTCAACAACTGGTTCTGCCAGGGGTCCGTCTCCGACCGGTTCACCAGGGGTGTGATCACGCTGTTGAAAAAGGACAAGGGTGTTAGGCGGGATTTAGATGACTATAGGCCTATAACTGCTAAACACAGAGTTAAAGATTTTGGCCAAGATCCTGCAGGAGCGTTTGCAATCAGTTGCCGAGTCTCTGTTATCTTCTAAACAGACAAGTCTTCCGGCTTGCGGTTTGGTGCCTGGAAATGGGTCGATCTTTCGGGACCCTTTAGTTGGACGGACGGTCCTGTCCGCATTCTTGGAGTGTGGTTTGGACCCGAACTCCAGGTGGAGAAAAGTTAGTCTGAATTACAGACAAAGGTCAACGCAGCCGGTCAGACTTGGCGTCAACGGAGGTTGTCCGTGAAGGGCAGGGCGGAGGCGTGTGTCACTTACGTATTTCCTCTTGTCCTTTATCACTTGTCTGTACTTCCTCTCTGTAAAGATCATAAGAAGGCGCTCGAGAGCTCGCTATCCGCCA